TCGCTACTCAATTGGGCTTAGTTAATGCTGTTTAAATGTTTTATGTTCTATAATATAATATAAATGAAATCGAATGCTATTTTTTTACAATTAGTAACTTACCTTTTTTTATAATGAGAAAGAGCATTAATCCGATGCACAGTTAATATACATAAATAATTAATCTTTAGACATTTTTTGTACGTTATTATGCTTAGTTTCTTGTTAGTTATTTTAATTAAAATAAATCACTTAAATATTTACTAAATTTAATTACAACTTTTACTTTGTTTCAGCAGCAAAAAACGACTGTAAAGAAAGGATAAAACATTTTTTATAGTTTCCTTAATATAAACCATAACTTTTTTATGCATGGAAACAATTTTGCAGCTTAAGCTTTAGTTTACCATAAAAACAAACTCTAGAGTTTCGGAATATTACATCTGTTCTAGAACCTAACATTGCTGCTTAAAATTCATTTGTGGTTCAGTTACATAACAATAAATTATGTTTTTTTTTTATTATTTTGTACAAATCCAGCTGATAGCCACTTAAATGGAACAATAGACTTGACCTTGAGCATGCTTTTACCCTACCTGTAAAGGGCAACTTTGGTTTTTGAGTAAATACACATTTTCATATGATTAAACTTATAATGACAGATTTATCAACTGCAACTTCAGCTCCTTCCTATACCTTCTGTGAAGTGTAAGTTTGAGATAGTTTATAATTTATAATTTAAGGTAAACATCATACGAGAGTATTTGAAGATTCCACTCCAGAGGACTCCTCCGTTGACGTCATTTTGTTTATGGTATCTCATAACTACGACCCCTAAGTTGGAACCCCGAATTTCCCTATTATTTCTGGGCTATTATTTTTTGCTGCTATTTCATCGTCATTGAGAGGCGGCGCAGTTGGAATTTAAATATGTAATTAAGTCCGCGGGACGACAAGCTCGGAAAATGGCCAAGGAAAAGCATTCGTTGCTGGGCAGCGCATATTAAAATGAGTTTTTATTCCAAGGGCCAAGCATTTTTCCCATGCTCGTCGATGACCGCACGGTACTGGGCTAATGAAAATTAAATTGAGTAGGCGGTGGTGCCGGATGTAATGGAATCTAATGGCCACATGATTGGGCCGCAGTTGCGTGCAAATCATGGCCGCGATTAAGTGCAAATGAAGCCTGATTAATTGCCGGCCGATTGCATTATAGCCACAAAGATCCGTTTTTCCAGTGCAAACAAAGGGCCAGCAAATGTCATATTTTATGGCCACTTTCTCTGGCCTTGCTACGCCATTGTTACGATGGCACGCATAAAAAAAAACCAGTTGCGGCCATGAAAATTCATGGCTTAAACCGGCTAAAATGCCGGGTCTGTATATTGGTGCTGGTTTATAGGGATCAGGCTTATTAATAACATGATGAAAGGGTTAGTTTGCCATAAAGTTATAAGTTTGTGGAAGACAAAGTTAAATATTAACCTTTAACATATTCAAAGCATAAAGATGGTATTTCCCTCTTTAACTGTTTTATGTACCACTTAAGTGGTTATAGTCCTTACTTTTAATATTAAATCTTTACAAGCCTGGTTAAACTTACTCTATTAGTAACTGAGTAACATTCTCTTACTGATAAAAGGAGAGCGCCATTTACAAATTGTTTTGGCAATAATATTTTTGTGCAAGTTTTTATGGCTTTTCCCTAATTCGAATTGATGTAAAGTATTAAAAAATCAAGCGTGAATGGGCCATAAAAATATGGAATCGCATATACAAATTTCTATATGGTTAGGTTTACAGTTGAAGTGTTACAAAAGCTGCAAACTACCCAAATACAAGCTCATTGGATGCCGTCGATTGGCTTAAAGGCTTTCGCGTTCATTGGCAGGTCATAAAACCCTTGGCAACAACAAGGCCAACACTGTGTCAATAAAAGTGTCAATCAAATCAATGGGACAGGCTAGCAATTTTTCATGCTCCCAAACACATACACTATGCAGAGGGAGAAACTTAGGCAACTAAAGCCTTTGATAAGTTATATTAATAAGCGTAATTATTGCCACATTTTAAATTATATTTTCTGATCTAAGTAAGTTAAAGATATTTAAACCGCAATATCCGACATTGTTTTTTTCAGTGTATCACGGCACCGGCTGTTGCACATTTGCTTTGACAAAAAAAGGCGAGCTGCCACAACAAAAGGACATAAAAACATTGCGGCAACGCTTTTTCCCCTTTTTTTCCCCACTTCATGTTGACTTGACTAATTTTTTGTGATCGAAGTTTGGTTTATTCCGATTTGTTATTTTTTTTTTTTTCGTTTTCGAGGTCATCAGCTGTCTGTTGTCCTGGCCAACTTTGATTTGATTTTCGTCGACCGTTCAGTGCACATCGGCGATATTAAACATTCTGATTATGACAGACTAGGCCAAAAGGGCCATAAACCAGACCCTGGCATCTGCCAAATGAAGCTGAAAAAATGCAACTGCCAGATGTCCCTTTTGGGTTTTTCGTATGCAAAGGGAAAATCTGGAGCGGAATGCGTTCATTTATCAAAATTTGACTGGAGCCAGACCGAAGGAGAACGCAAAATAAATCGCTTTGTCGTTTTAGCCAAAAGTTATAAATGACACAAATTTCGAGGGCCAAGTCAAAAAGCTTAGTCTACTTCTAGGACAACAATGAAATGGGTTAAGGAACGGATATACAAAAGAAAAATTGCACAAAAAGCTGAGCAACGATCAGCGGATATTAAACAAGTTAAGGGTTTTTTTCTTTAAAGGAAAGCCCGAAAAACAGGTGTTAACCGCCGACCATATAAATTTGTCTCCCGCTCAATGAAAACGGCGGATTAAGCAGCAATTTGTAAATCCAATACTCAGCCCCGAGAATTTATTGCCAAACGTGCCACACATAAAATTCACCCAGGCGAGACAGTTTTCCCTTATTTCTTTCTTTCGGTATTTTTTTCGTTTTTTGGTGCATTTGCGGAAAATTGTTTTACATTACAGCCAGCACCAAATTGAATAATGCGTCGGGGATTTTCTGAGGGCCAATACAAACAACCCATAAATTCTTGCGGGCCATATGCAGACATGGTCGGATCTTAAGTGGCTTCTGACACAGGGGCGGGGCCACCTGACAGTTCCTTGTCGGAAAATGCAACTTGTATTCGGTTGTGAATAAGGAAAACATATGGCAAACTGGCGGATGTCGGAAAAACATCTCCAAGTAGCTCTGACAGCTGGCGTGTCTTAGTGGCTACTAGCGATGAGAAAAACTTTAAGAGGGAATATATATCAACTTTATTCATCTGAAAATCTTTATTATATCTTAGTTGAGGAATGAAAAATATACACATTTTAATCTTAAGGTCAAAAACTATATTTATACGTATGACCGATTTTAAGCCGTTTAAATTGGAAAAGAGTTGTGAAACTAAGTACTACTCATCTCTAATGACAAGCTGTCGCCCTTGAACATATTGAACCCACTCCCCATAAGCTGCTCTCTAAATATTTCCCTGAATACTCCAGTCAGTGGGTGAGCAAATACAGTGAGGCTTGGCAGACTTCAAAGAAGTCGCTGTACTGGACTGCCCAAAAATAAGCTGCTTTGCATTAAGTTTTCGGCCTGAGCCCACTTGATTTCATTTGTCATGCCGCGCCATAAATAACTAAAGGCTAAGACGAGGCGCCAAACGTTAATCACAGCAAGTGGAGGAAATCAACAACAGACAATGGATCCGTGTGGAAATCAGGGGAGGAAAAACGTTTGGGAAACCGGAATACACCCAACCAACACCACTAACCAAAGTCAACGTCTGACACCAGCATTAATTGCGCATTAATGTTTATTGCTTAACGGATGTGGAAGTGGCGCCATTTTGCTATTTGTCTGTTTTGTTTCTTCTGCTTCGCTTTTCCTCTCACCATAGAGAAAAAGGAAAACGAAACAGAAAAACAGAAAAGAACCGCCGGAATACAGTTTTGATACCCTTCGGAAAAAGTCGTTGCTTAAAGCGTGATTTAACTTAATGCTCATTCGGTGGAACTATTGGTTCATGCCCTCGGAAAGAAAATAATTGGATTGGCAGATTGTGCGACAGCATTTAATTGGAGGCTCCCGAGGGGCAGGATATTATAGATTTTATTGGTTTTACTTGAGGCTGTAATGTTGCAGGCTTTCATTAATGGAAATCTTAAGCTGTGCTCTTGAAGATCACACTAAGAAAGACGATTCCTTAAAGGAAAATTAATTTTAAATTATATGAAAAGCATATTAAAGACGCGACTTGTGCTCTTCTAAGCTAGCTTTCATTATCTTCTGGCTTTCAATTTCTCGTTTTGTTTCATTAACTTCTCCACTAGCCCTATCCTGCCCCTATATTCGTTTCCTTTACCACTCGCTCTTTCTGTCTCTGGGAAATTTGTTTTGTATTTCCGGTTGCACTGAGCTCCAAATACTTCCGGCGACTTGCGCGCCATTCGAGGCTTAAATTTATGGAGCTAGTTTGCGAGCTGTTTCCGCCGCATTTGCCACATTGCTGCCACTGCCACTGCCTGTGGCGTTTGCTTAAAGCCGCACTAAAGCCCACTCACTGGGTGGATGCCATGTGGCAAGGTACACACTTTAAGCGACACTTTGATTGATTATCCCTGGGCAAACTCGCGCCTTTTCTGAATCCTGATGCGGCGGCTTTGACGCGGCTTGCGATTCAGCCATTCCCTAATGGATGCATATGTTTGCAACCATGTGGCATTCTGTGATGATTCGATATGCTGCATTAAGTTCCCCTTAAAAAAACTGTTAATTACTTAATACAAAGGAGGTCTGTGGGTGTCGGCATTTAAATAAAAACATTTGCACAAGTGAATCGATTTCAATCAGTTAAATGAAGTGCCTTTTTCAAGAGGATTTAAATATAAACAGAAAGAAATGCAAATACAATTAATTTTGCAATTTATCCTAAAGAATCAAATCGAATATCCTATAACTGGTCACACAGTAGGCTTCGCTCTGGTCTGATAGCAACAAATATTTTCGGCAAACATCGGCTCAAAAATTCTATCATAAAATGGCTGGAAACCAGGTGAGTGTGGTCATTAAATAATTATCGTTTATCCTCTCGATGAATCCATCCAGGACTCGTCCGTCTCGTCGCGCATCACGCTCTTTAACCAGCAAGCTGAACAGCACAAAAACTGGATGATGATTAATCCATTCGCCCATTACAACGTGAGTGATATACCAAAGAGAAGTTTTTCGGAGGATGAATATGGACGGGCACCGGCCGGAAGTCTCTCTGAGCAGAGATCCCTGCAGGCCAATGTCCGCGCTCTGGAGGACATCCTCCAGCTATGCCATATGATACAGAAATCCGGTCAAAATGACCCCGGCAATGGTCTGCGAGCTCTGCATTTTGGCACCCTTTTTGATTTGTACAATGACATTTCGGACAAGCTGCTGGCCACGTTGTTGGGTGCCCGGAAATATGGATACGTCGATTTTACCGGGGAAACCCTTTTCCAAGGACGCGATGAGGCCGTTCCCGTGCGACTGTTGCGCCCCTTTGATAAACTCCAAGCCGAAATCATGGCCAAGGTAGCGGATCTGCGATGTGATTTCACCGAAAAACCCTTTGAATCGACTCCGCTGCGCGAGGATTAGCTAATGCTTACCGCTGGCCAAAAAACTGTCACCCAATCCTGGTCCCGTGTCAAAGAGCGCACGTGTGCACCTCCAAGCCCTTTCGCAGTTAATTGAATTAGGGTCTGGGTGCCTGGCCAAAAGCCTTTTAACCACCAATCCCGTCACGTATACGACAGGAGGGCACTCGTAAACACCTGCCGGCGGCTTTACAACCCCACACCATTCCCTGCGATTGTATCACCTCCAGGAAATAAACAAATTACAGCCAACTTAGTTAAATTCATAAATCCAGGCCAGCGACTTCAAAGCCCCGCTCACCTGACAAATTATTTTGAATTATTCGTGTAGATGGCGAAACCGTAAGTCATTTGGTTTCTTAGCGGTGTCCTTGGTTGATACAAGTGCTGCTACGCTAGGAAAATGTATTTCCTTTTATTTAAGAAGTTTTCTCTCATCAACTTCCATAGGTGTTTAAGCACTTTAGCTATAAATTTTCAAAGTTTTCATTATTTTTAATGCCTTCCATTTCCATTTCTTAAATTAATTCTAATTTGGGCTTGACATGATATTTCCACCCACTGTTAGCAGCGCAACAAAATTCCTGGGGAGCGTGGGCGGTGGAGTAATGTACCGTTGATTTGATTTAACGACGAACTGAACACGACTTCGTCATCCCCCCCATTGATTCCTCACCTCAATCCTGGCGTGTAAGGACCCCTGATTCATGCTTTAAACCCCGAATAAATTCACACAGAGGCCTCAAATGATTGAATAATGAAGAGCGAATGCCTGAGTTCTGGGTATTTGTGACACATAATTATGATGGAGCGCCCAAATGCGGGTGGAATTGAATGAAATGATCTAAAATAAACATGTTTCCATGTTTTCGAACTGTGGCGGCAAAATGGGGGCCAAAATCAAGCGGAGGCTAAATGGAATTTGTTATGCAAATGTCATGACTCGGCTCGTTGCGCACAACATCCGTTTGCCATTTTTCCCACTGCCAACTCGTGGCAGAAGGCCAAATACGGAGCCAGAAAAGGGCCAGAAACCTCCCAGTGGGTGGGTGACTCAGAATATTTCTCTATGTTCATATGTAGGTGCCGATTGTTCAACTCGAAAATGGCTTTGGGTCCTGCGGGTGAACTCGGCATTGTTCCGGTTAAATCACAGTCCACACATGCCCAATTGTCCCAGACAAAGGTAAATAAAAACCAGGCCAGAACAAGCAACAAAAAGCAAAATATGTTGTGGTCACAGGGTTAACTTTTCGCTTAAACTCGGTCTGCAGCGGCACTTTATGTATGTGCATATTTTCTGGGATTATTAAAGCCTTATGAATTATTGATGGTTTTTGCATCTTTCATTTGAGACATAAATATTTTTTTTTTTTTATTTTTGTAACTTTTATCAACCCAAAGAGACTTAAATGTAAGCAACCGCCAAACCCACTTTAAGCTCATCTTTCAAGAAGCTCCTTAAACTAACCATCGGTTGTAATTGTTATGAGCCACTTCTGGTAATTGCAGTTCCATAAAAGTAAACTCAGTATACATTTTCCCCACCATCTTCAGGGATGCAGCTTAAGTTTCCTTCCAGCCCTTTTCCCTCTGAGGAAACCCTTTTGAGCTGTTGGCTTTTCCCGCTGTGCGACGACTCCTAACGTCTTGAATTTCCGTCAAAACTTGTGGCTGATTTATGGCCACCGCGGTGGTCGTCAAAGGACACGCTGTTAGCTGGGTAAGCTGAGCCACATCCGCTTCCGCCAGAGCCTCCAGAATTCCCAAAGGACGCGCCCACAACAAGGTAGCTAGGTACTGGTAAGCTCTCCTTGATTAGCCACCAAAGGTCGCGGAGCAATAATGCAGCGGTTGATAAGAGGCCGTATCGTAAAACTGTCATTTGCCAGTTGATAAGAGCGGCGCGTGCGGCACCAGCTGGCCATTGCCAAAGAGGTCAATCCGGGGTTATTTCTGGGTCAAGTGCCACGAGCAACTCATGGCCGGTTTACCTGGATTTTCGCTGGTGTATCAGTTTTTATAAATTAAATAAGAAATCTTATAAGTCGTTAATCCAATAAATCAATAGAACAATAAATTATGAATATAAATTTAATAATCCTTTGATTATTTATTAATAAAAATAAGTTTTTTAATGATATTTTAGTTTACTTTTTAATAAATATTAAAGCAATAGCTAACTTAAATTATAAGTCAAGAAGCCTAACACGTTCTTAGAATAAACAACTAACTTAATTACCTGCCAAGCAACCCTCAAGCAATAAAATAAGTGAAACAGGCAACAGGGTAACCTGAAGGCCAAAACCTTGTCGACATGGCTTGTATTATATTCAAAAAATCGCCTGGGGGAAGTAATAAACATAAAAATTATACATACATACCTTCGCCAGACATACTTATGCATATTAGTGCTAATGTCTGGAGCTGGAACGATGGCATCGTCGAGATAAAACTAAAATGGGAGCCTTCGTGGATTTTTGGACTTTGGGGTTGGAGATGGGCGAAAACTTTTCAGACGCACTGCAAACAATGACGTAGCTGCTCCTTAGTCTCTCATTTATGCAAATGGAGGCCATTTGCAGCAGCACAAAGGACATGGACTCGCATGGAGGATTTATGGCAGCAAATGCGATATTTATTTGCTGTGTTATTGTTTATGATTGTCGGCACTTTATTGCATACATGTATGGCGGAATGTATATATATAATAGCCAGACATTTACATTTAATTATGGCCAAACATCCAACCAGATGGTTTTTCATTTTTCAGCCATTATTTTCCAGAGACAAGTTCTGTTGATGAGCCAAGTTTTTTATTGTATTTGATTTTGAATTGGAATTTATTGCTCAGAGATCTCAAGTGGAGCAGCCAGACCAGAAGCAGCCATGCAGAAAGGTCACTGCGGATTGGATGAGTCATGAGAGGGCCCTGAGTCCTGCCTCCTGATGGCCAACTATGATGGAGCACTTGGCAAGGCTCTGGTTCTGCGGTAGAATTTTAAAAGAAAAAAGCTCAGTTGATAACCCACTTGAACGGGGTGTTCAATCAAAAGTCGAGGGAGCAACTCCCTTCTCCCAGGAGGTCAAAGGTAAACCGCTTAGCAGCAACTACTCTTCGGTTTATGCAAATGCCAAGCTTCAGAGCACTTCATTTTGAACCAAGTCTACATTCCTGCTTACTCAAGCAATAATTATCTTAACAAATTTATATTCCCAGCAAACTAGAAAACATTTTATGCAAATGAAAAACAGACAAACTTTAAATATATTTACTAGCAGGATAATTTATTCCATTGTGCATTTCCTTTATTAATATTCCAACTTATTTGATTTTCCCTTGCCAAGCATTTTAGTTCATGGCTGAAAGTCAATTTCAAATCAATTTCCACCTGTCACGGAACGCAGATTGCAGAAGCCGTAGTCAACTTCACAGTTGTTCATCTTGGGTGGCACATGGTTGTGGCACTTCAGCGTCTCCCTGCTTCTTTCTACGGTCTTCAAAAGAGCATCGCAAATGGGAAGTACGCTATAAGCCAATTTAAAATCTGGCACGAGCTGTCGGAAAGTGTCGACATTTCCCAAGACCTGCAGTTGTCCTGGCCCAAAAAAAAACAAAGCCAGTAAGCAAAAATCCAGACACTCAACAGCTGCATCTTGCAATGCAATTTCGCAATTCCGAAGCCCAAATGAAAATATGTGTGTATGTTTTGCGTTCAAGTCCAGTTTTCCACTTTTCCTGCTTCTATTTCAAGACAACTTCCAGCGGAAGGAGTGGAAACTAAAACGGATGTTGGGCTATACACAGAAATGCAATAGTGGTCTGAAATAAGTGTTTGTTTTCTGTATAATAAAGACAGAGATTTTCTAAATATTTTTCTGTGTACTTTTTGCAGACCTAAGCACTAGAGATCCGCCTTCGAGTGCGTGTTACGTCCGTAAATCAGCCACTGAATCCGTATGAAGTTTTCCCTTTTTTTTTATATTTATACCTTGGTCAGTTGCCAATAAATTGGTTGGCAATGGGCGGTCTCTCTGGTCGCCGGATTTGTTGTGTAATTGTGCGAGTCAAGTGAGGCCGCTGGGGAGGAGGGTCATAGGGCTAAGCCAAGTGGAAATGTCGGGGTGATTAATCTGAAAGTGCCCAAAAGGTTACGTTCTGCTGGTCAGCGGCAATTTCTATTAGAAAAGTTTTATATCGTAGGCGGCGGTCGGTTAAAGTGTCAAAAGCGAGGCAAATAAATGAAAACTCTTTGGCGCGTCATGCCATTGATTGGCATGGCCACCCACGACCCGCGACAAGAAGAAAGTCTTACTTTCGAAATTGTTGTCTTCTTTCTTTTCTGTGGAAGACAGAGGGACGAAAGGAAGGAAACATCATCTGTCAGGCAGCCGTCTTATTGGGAAATGAAAATATTAAAAATATATTTCGACTGTCGGGCCCGAAGGAAAGGAAAGGCTCCGCACTGACAGGTGCAGGAAGGAAATGGGAAAACCCAAAGGGAAAATAAATCAGCGAGCCGTAATCCGGCGCGTTGTCTCTGAACTGAGCTTTGCAAGTTTCGCCGCCTTTTCTATGGCTTTTCAGCCGACGAAAAAGCCTATAAACTCAGGCACATGCCACCAACGGATCAAGTTTGAGGGCTTCCAAAAAAAGTCAAAAAATTAATGTACAAGAAATATATATTCACAGAAATCCAAAGCTGGAATTTAATTTAGTATTTTCCCGAAGTGCCAAGACCTCAACAGCTGAAGCCTTTGGAATGAATGGCATTGAGTGTGGGTGGATAATTTATTGTCAAGTTTGATAAACGTATTTTTTTGCGAACAGATCTTATCAATCATAAAATGCCAAAGTTCAAAATTTCATCGAGGAAAATGTTACAGTTCAATAGGTTTTCCAATGGCATATACACTATAAAATTTAAGGAAATCTTTAGAAAGTTTTTAAACTTTAAACTATAAGAATATATGAAAAAATATTGTATATTCTTTAATATTTATTGTAAACTTTATAAAACTGAAAGTTTAGTTTACTTATTTTTTAAATATATTTAAAGTAAAAGTTATCTGCTTAAAAAAGCTTCTGCATATGTTAGAAGACAAACTAGTCCGATCATTTCAAACCCTCTAATGACTTGTGACCGTTGGGTATAAAAGTTTTTGGCAACCGCAGTTATATTTGGACATGGCACTTTGGAAAACCACTTGGCTTATCCTTCGCCCACTTCCGCTGGAAACAATGCTCGGTCTTCTGCTGCCCGAACAATAAACATTAAATTAATTTCCTCGAGCGATTTCCACCCACGCCAAGAGTAAATTTTACTTATACCCCCACCCATCAGAGTTCTATAGTGCATTTCCGGCGGTTATGGGAAATATAGGTGGTGGGGGGGTCCGTGGTAATATGGGGAGTATATACGGGTGTCTAGGCGTTCCTCAATTGCACAAACACAAACTGGGTCGCTGTGGTCATTATAGAGGGCATAAAACTTGATTGTTCGCCTTACGACATTTGGCTGCCTTATAAATAGACAGCCAGACACTTTCACTGGTTGCAATGGTTATTGCTGTGCTGATGCAGCAACATGCAACTTGCAGTAATGCCGGCGCCAGTCTGCTTTATGAATGAATTTTTCCCCAGAAAAGCGCGCAACATTTCTGCGGCGCATGCTCATTCTTAGCTAGCAACATTATTGCTGGCATGGCGGCAACATGCAACATTGTTGCCAGGCGGCAGGCCGGAAAAACTAAGCGGAAAATTCGGCGGCACAGTTGGCAGACAGCTTTCAACGCGTTCGCGCCAGGAAAAGCGTTCGGCAAGCGAATTTCGAATTTCGAAATATATTTAAAAATATCACTCATACGCACGGGAGAGCGAGAGTGTTGAGGAAACGAGAGTGAGAGTGCAACGATATTCACCTGGCTGCTGGCACTTGCCACTAAATAAATAAAAACCAAATGTTGTTTATTTAATTTCAAAAACGGAGAAAGTGTTTAAATAATAGCTCCTGTAGTATATAATCAAGTGAAAAACGCCTGCCAGCGGCGCATTAATTTATAAATAAATATATTAAATATATTCTGGCGTGTGTGAGAGTGAGCAGCGTCGATAAAAAGCTCCCAGAAGAAGATTTTCTTCGGAGGCGAAAATGTGAAATTATCTCTGTTGAAAGCCAAAGAACTCTCAGCCCAAAGAAAACCAAAAAAAAAAACCAAAATCGTAGATCATTCCATTTTGAATTAATTTTACCCATCGCACCGACAATCCCTTGGCATTGATTGTTGACATTCTCGGGCAAAGATATGCAAATGGGAATATGCGAATATCTTGCAACCACACACAGACTCACACTCGAGTTGTAAATTAAATTCCCAAGGTAAGCAAATAAGTCTTAATAAGCCTATTAAAAAAACACCTAAAGCCAAGGGAAACAGAAACAAAAACAAAGCGGAAAACGTGTGCCATAAAACATGCGTTTCCCTTAAGAAAGCAAAATGTCAAGTGGCTTTTTTTATTAGCATCCTTGGGTGTGGAAAATCCTCATGATTTTCATGTCGATAAGCTGCAGCATGTTGAATATTAAAAAGATTAATTTATTGCTCTGAGAGCCTCCTCTCATGTGTATTCTGTCGTATGAAAATATTCCACAAAGGCATTTCACTTTCCTTTTTGTATTATTATTTGCGGATGGCAAAGGAGAAGGACTTTCTGCCGCTGACGGGTCATCGGTGAGTTGCAACCGCTGGCACATATTCGATTTCCATAAAAGTGGCTTCCTCAGCTTCTTGGTTTTTCTTACAACGTGCGAATTCTAAAGAAAAACATCTTGAAAAGAATGCTTTATTGTGTTAGCCGTAACAACCGTACAAAATATTACACAGCCACTCATCGAATTCTGTAAGGTTTGATAACAATGCTGGGAAAGTAGTAGCTTTTCTTCACCTTCATTGAAGTGTAAGATTACTTCAGAAAGAGTTGCAAATTGCAGAATACACAGTTATTTAATTACAATTAAAAACAAAAAACGTTTCAATAAGAACTCAAAATGTGAGTATACTTTTAGAAACCATTAAATTGGTAAAAATTCATAAACTTGGGAAAGATTTTTTATTTCTTTCATATTAGGATTACCTTAACTTATATCTTCACTCTTACTACTTCACCTACTTTTTCAGATTCCTTTCAGTTTATATTTTATGAAATTGGCTTAAGGCATTTTTAATATCCTTTCATTGCATTTTGAAGCTCAAAAGACTTAAAATATAAACTTGAAAGTCCACATTTTCTCCGTAAACAAGTCTTAAATGTCAAAGACACTTTTCGTTGCAGGAGCATATACTACTTAAAAGTTTCCTCTTTTGTTTAGCTTATTTGAAAACAAAAAACTAATAAGTATAGAAAAATGTTTTTATTTAAACTAGTTTTATATTAAATAACCCAGCTTAGGGCTGACATTTTCGGACTGAACTACTTGATGCTTATTTTCTTTGACCAAACTTTGTTTGCAGGCACTTTTGAGTAGGTAAGGCCATAAGTTCTAAAGAATTACATTTTAATTAAAAGCAGAAGCCTAATAAGAGATGATAGAGAGATTAGAGTGAGAAGTACTTCAAGAATGCGAATTCAAAAGTTTTCGCCAGTATTTCCTGGCCTTAAATAAATATGAAGAGGACTTGTAGACGGAATTTCCATGCCACATCTTTTGGCTGGCTATAAATATATACATATATATATTCGCCCAGGTGCCGCCATTCAAATTTATTCACATGCATTTTTCTTATCCACAAACTGCATATTAATTAACTAAATGCCGCAAATTTATTTACATACGAGCTGTAAGGAAAAACAAAGACAGAAGCTCACGGATGGCTGGAAAAACTCAGACTCAGCGGAAAAATGGTTGGCGGTAGCAATGGATTTTACTGGCCTTGGGTTAAATGCTGCAGGCAAATAGATCTTGAGCCTCGCTCTACCCCTACCCCGCTCTGCTACTTAATGTCGCAATGATTAAGTATACGACGCGTGGTACTTGGCAGGCAACAATGCAGCGATTATTTACCCTAAACGCAGCAATTCAGGAACACAACCGCGTGGGCCATTATATAGAAAAATATAAAAATGCAGAGGAAGAAAATGATAAAATAAGTAGACCTTCTTAAAAGCCCTAAAAGTAATATTATTTGTTTTTAGAAATTTCTATAAATAAACTTGCCTTTAGTTAATTACTTAAAAATTAATACAAAACATTTTTTAGAGTTTATCTGCGTTAATATAAAGAAGAAACAAAATTCTTTCTGTGTAAAAGGAATAACAAACGTTTTGGGGCATAAATCAGTTGCACTTCCATGAGCATTCAGCACCTGGCCATTGAGCACTCAAATTGTGCGAATTTTGCCGACAATTAGAAGCGCTGGATGTCGAACGCCTTTTGGAGGCCTCAGGATGTTCTCGGCAGGATGCTCATTAAAGCCGAAATTGCAATTGGTGTATGCAAATGACAGCGGTGCTAGTCAGAGGAAAACCAGAGAAAAACCAGGCTGGACATTTGCATCCATCCCTGGTTTGAACCAAAGACTCTTTGGTTTATTTCTTAGCGTTTTTCCTTTGGTTTTCCGACCGCCGAGATTGTCGAGAGCAAAAGCCTTGAAACTGTCAACTAAAAATAAATCGCAAAGAGCTAGCTTTTCTCTCTCGTGCTCTGCGGAATATAATAATTATAATTTCGTGTTTTCATTTCATGCCGCCCCAACCAGATTCTTAGACTTTTATATGTTTTATATTTTGTTTTTTTATTATATTATATGCTCAACATGCGGCTAAGAAGCACTCTCAATTCTATAAATTTTGCGTTCAAAAACCACTAAATCCAAAGCTATATGTCTATAAGTAAAGCGAATACCGCTGGCACATGGAAGCACAATGGAAAAGTGGAAGGCAAACATAAGTTAATATACTTAAGCTGCTTAATTAAATAAATTCAGGAAAAATGCCAGGCATGAAGTGATATATGGCGCAGGCGAAGGTGTCGATTTATAGGCAGTCTGGTTTTCTTGCTATCTGTAAATATAGTTAGTCCAAAATGTGAAACAATTTCATTTCCTACAAATAGAAATCAAATTAAATCTCTTAATGACTGTAATTAAAAATATCCTTAATTAATAGTTAACAATGGCATTTTTCACATCCGTCTCAATCAACTTGAAGTCTATAGCTATAAATTTTCTCTCAAATAAGGAGGAAAATGTGCTCAGCACATGCCAAAAATCTCAGCGAAATGAAAATGACACAATCCAGACAATCCGGCGCCCAAACTAAACATGGATTTTCCACACCAGACCAACTGCACTCGGGGAAAATTCAACAAAGGAAGACTAGAGAAAATGGGAAAAACAAAGAGGAAAATGTATGGCGTAGAAGCATTCGACATGCAAATTGCTTTCTGAATAATTAAGCTTAATGTCGCTCACAGAATGAAACATTAATTGGAACTATTTGCCGTTTCACATGAAAAGTGAAAGGATCCGACGTGTCTGTTCTAATTATCCTGCCATTGATTTGACCATAACACACGACTGCAGATAAAAATCCATTCGATTTTCCACATTCGGTTAACTTCCATCGCCACTTTAATACCATTGCAATTAGTACTGCGAGGTGAATCGCTAGCACTTTGGTTATAAACTATTAATGGAAAAAACAGGGGAAAGCCTTTATGCCCGAACGTAAAAACGCTGTCGCTGGTCGGCCAAAGTTCACACAACTTAAGCCCTCGCAAAGAGTTTAAAAGCTCAAAGTTTTGTGAATGGCTTGCATGTAGATTTCAGTCAGCTTTTAGTGGTTAAGCCGCGTAATCCGAGCTGTATTTATGGTTCATTCAGCCATTCAGAAAGCTGTAAAAAGTGGTTTCCCCCAAACTGAAGATTGCTTAACTGTTTCGGAAATAGTAATATTGACATTTTTACTCCCTATGATTTATATAGGATGATTTATTTGGTGATATTTTAATGGTTTTTCCACATTTTTTGTCAATATAAAAAGTATTTTTAATATTGTAATAACATTGTTGAAAACCCATTGATAAACAAGTCAACAACATTAATTATTATTAAAAGCAATATTGGGTAATATATTTTTTGCCTAATCAGGCAGCTCAAAAACATAGAAAGGACATCCGCCAGCTCTTATCAACCTGGAAACGGTCTTTGATGTTTTTTGTTTTTCCCAGCGAACATGTGAAACAACAAAAGCCGAGGGAAAAAGCGCCTGCCAAAGCAACAAAGACCAAAAGCCAGTGAAACCGAAAAGTCTCTGTTGTTTGCGTTTTGTTCCATGTGACAAAAAACGAAGTGGTGGGAAATTCCAAATACCAGAACTGCCGCAATAAAGCCAGCTGTGAGGAAAAATTGCTGGCTAGGATCGACGAGTGTTTTTTTTTTGCCATTTGGCCCAGGCTGGGAAAAAGCAATTTTGGGACTGGTCGTGTGGGCGATTTACCAATGTCAGGGCCGTAAAAAGAAAATGTGTGAGTCACACGGTGGCAGAGAGCAACTAAAACAGGACACGTGCTGGCGACGTCAAGAGTGGCAAAAAGGGTCAGAGGCATTAAAGATAATTGCCCTTATAATTGCCTGGACAGTTGCTGCTGGGCAGGACAGCAGACCCCCCTAAAGCACTTCAATTCTCGCCTCTAATTGAGATAATCGCATTAGGACCCCAGGGTCGAAACAATGGTCCCTGCCCAGTGACACCTGCAGTTCGTCCAGTGACCGCAAATCGCTGACCACTTAACATGCAAACAACTGCAGCGGACACTCTCAGTTTATCAAAATGCTGCAGCTGCACAGATAACGAATGCAATTTAACCGAATATCACGCATACGCAACGTGTCCGCCCTTTGCCCTCCATTTATTCCGGCCATCTGCATTCTCTGTGGTTAACTGAGCAAAACCGCAAACATCGCAAACACATTTTGGCCACAATTACTTGTATCATATAATCAGTAACAGCAATTGCTGTTCGCCTCACTTTTTGTTTCACTAAACTGGCCATAAATTACGTCAACTTTGATTCACAATCGCATTTGACTGGGGAATATATATTGATTTCATTATGCAATCAAGGGAATAAGTCACACAGAAGTCCTGTCAAAACTCACTGGGGAAAATTATTATTAATTTACATTTATGGTGGTGATAAAATCAAAATATTTATGGGAAATCTTGAGCCCATTTTTGCTACTAAGTTTTTGAGATTTCTTTTATATTCACAAATGAAATCCAAATCATTGATAGGATTTACTATATAATTTTTCTCAGTAGCCTTATTCCTACAAAAACAATATAATATAGGCGTGTGCTTTGACTGATTTGCTTGGCCACTTGATGAGCTATCAGTCGGTGCTCGTATTTTGGCCCCATTCTTTTTCGGTATCTTTGTATTGGTATGTTGACCAAATAAATCGTATATGTGGGGAGGGGGAGTGTGGTCCGTTTTTGGTTTTGGTCACTTAAGCCTGATTGATGTGTCAAAATTGTGACATTCAATGGAAACGGCGGAGGTGTGAGAATTCGTGATATTTACACGTGGCAACGACATATTCAGCGCCAGTCCGAGAACCCTTAAATGATTTAGTGGCCCACACTTGTTGCCAGACACAATGCGATAAGGGCCGAGAACAAATAAAGTGAATTAAATCATTAGAGTGTGACAAACACAGGACCTTCATTAAGGGATAATGGCCAATAGAAAGCGACACACTCTATTCGGCAAAAACCAATTTCAATGGCAATTAGGGGCAATCCTTTTTGGGCCACCAAACTGTTTCCGACTAATTTGCTGTTAGTTTTTGTTAGTCCTTACAAAAGGAGATTATGGCTTTGTGGTTTTGTTTGGTTGTAAATGTTTTTGTATATATTTTTACGTACACACTTGTCACTATCGAGTTAGATAGATAGAACTCGATTACATTGATGAGCAGATAATTTTTATATAATCGGAAAAGTAGATAAGCTACACTTTTGCTGTATCCAAGTGCTGATAAAAGGCCTTTTTGCTAAATAAACAAACCACTCTACATTCTTCTTTAAAGTTCATATTCCTAAAGTTATTTAAAATTACCATCCCATTCCCATTATTTCCATTTAAGAAATACTTAATAATATATTTCTAAACAAGACTAAGACAAAACAAGAACTTCTCTTCTTTGCCATCTTTAAATAGTTAATTTGTAGAAAATTAAACTTGAACGAAGCAAAATGGGCAAATCATTTTGAAACGTAATAAGCTTGTTCCAATTATAGAACTAATTGTTACAAATTTACCTGTGAAAGCAGCCATCAATTAGGCTGCCTCCTAAACAAGAAGGGCAAGAGGCCGGCAATTGACACCAACGGTATTTATAATGAGCACGGAAAATGTTTTGGCCCTGCAGCAAAGGTACATATATCTTACTTACTATATTCCCCAACCAACTGCCGAGGCAAATAAGTTTGTTTGAGGGGAGAAACTGGGGAAAAGCTTCTTGTTGTTAATCGATATAACCTAAGTTACCTTTCTCAAGCACACTGAAAGGAACTTTCCTTAAATATATAAAAAGGTATACATTGGTTATAAAATTAAAAAGAAAACATGCAATTTGAAATGAAAAAAAAAACTAAAAGTATCAGTCATCAAGACAATCTCATCTATCACAAATTTATAACAAATTTCTCCTATACATTAATTTATTTAAGTGTCCTACCAGCAACCTTGTTTAAAACGACCTTCCATTTTTCATTTCCTATTTTGCAGCTTAAACTGTCGACGGCGCCGGCTGAAAGCCAGGACAAAGGACATCGTCATCAGGTGCTGGTGACCCCTGAACCGTGACCAAAGAGCCAGCTGCAACAATAAGTACCCGACCTGTGGCCGCAGAATTGATGTTCCTGCGAAAGTTTCCCGTCAGCTATACAAATGTCACGCCCACGATTCGAGTAGGTTTGGGATTACGGATCGGGGAAGTGGGTCAGTAGATGCCAGGAGCCATGGATGGTGGAGCGATTGCGCGGCTGCTGCTCCGTTTGGACCTTCCCTCGCCGGGAGTAATGCCGCCACCGCCCACTGACTTCGACTATGGCGGAGCGATAAGCGAGGATGAGTTCCTGGCCAGTGTAATGGCCACCGAGGCGCCAACGGTTCGTTACGACCTGTTCCCCCAAAACCACACTCAACCCAATCAGCACATCAACCACACGGAGGTGCAAACGGATTTGCAATATCCCCACTACGAGGATTTGGGTCTTGATCCTGATCCTAACTGGACCCGCATCTGCGAGGATGTGTACAATCCGCTGCTGGAAAATAATCGCATTGAGTTTTGGGTGTGTGGAGTGCTGATAAATATCGTTGGTGTCCTCGGCATCCTGGGAAACATAATCTCCATGATAATACTCTCCCGACCCCAGATGAGATCCAGTATCAACTATTTACTCACCGGCTTGGCTCGCTGCGATACTGTGCTGATTATTACCTCCATTCTGTTATTCGGAATACCCTCTATATACCCTTATACGGGTCACCTCTTCGGCTACTACAACTACGTCTATCCGTTCATATCGCCAGCCGTATTTCCCATTGGCATGATCGCTCAGACAGCTAGTATATACATGACATTCACGGTGACCCTGGAAAGATACGTCGCCGTTTGCCATCCTCTGAAAGCGAGGGCGCTCTGTACTTACGGCAGAGCTAAGATATATTTTATAGTATGTGTCTGCTTCTCCTTGGCCTATAATATGCCTCGATTCTGGGAGGTCCTAACCGTAACATATCCCGAGCCCGGGAAAGATGTAATCCTCCACTGCGTGAGGCCATCCAGATTGAGGAGATCGGAGGCCTATATCAACATATATATACACTGGTGTTATCTGATCATAAACTATATCATACCCTTTCTCACCTTGGCCATCCTGAATTGCCTGATATACAGACAGGTTAAGAGGGCTAACAGAGAGCGTCAGAGATTATCCAGATCGGAGAGACGGGAGATCGGTTTAGCCACAATGCTGCTCTGCGTGGTGATAGTGTTCTTCATGCTGAACTTTCTGCCACTGGTCCTCAATATATCCGAGGCCTTCTACAGCACCATCGATCACAAGATCACGAAGATCTCGAATCTACTGATCACCATCAACAGCAGCGTCAACTTCCTGATTTACATCATCTTCGGCGAAAAGTTCAAGCGCATTTTTTTACTCATTTTTTTCAAGCGCCGCCTGAGTCGTGACCAACCGGATCTTATCCACTACGAGAGCTCCATATCGAACAACGGCGATGGGACGCTGAACCACCGATCCTCCGGCCGCTTCTCGAGGCACGGCACCCAGCGGAGCACCACCACCACTTACCTGGTGGCCACCGGCGGACCAGGCATGGGGGGCTGCGGTGGTGGCGCTGGCAATAATTCCCTGAACAACGTTCGCCTCACTCAGGTCTCGGGATCACCCGGGCTGGTCAAGATTAAACGGAATCGAGCTCCGTCACCCGGTCCAGTGGTCTACTTTCCCGCCCGTGAAATGCAGAGATCCGCATCGACCACGAATTCAACAACCAATAATAATACGTCTATTGGCTACGACTGGACCCTGCCGGATAGCAAGAAGCTGGGACATGTCTCGTCTGGCTTTTGAGTCTGTGTCCGAGTGGAAGCAATGACAGTGGGTCAAAGGGTTGGGGTTTAGTCTAGTCCACTAGTCTTGTAAATAAGAATAGGCGAAATAGGGTTAAGCAACAGCTGCGGTCAAAATAATAGTAAAGGAAGTAGGAAATATGGTAAAAGTTCTACTGAATTTAAATCCTATATTAAATATGATTTTGGTAAGTATCTTTAAGATTTAATTTCTTGTGTTTTTAGGTTCATTAATATATTAAAAGATTATAATGTACATAAATATATTTTTAATTTCACATAAAATCAAAATAATCCCTCTGGAGTGCTATTATTTTGACCGCAACTGTAGTTACTATAATCTAAACTGTACAGAAGGCATACGTAAACTAAGCGCTCCAAGCGTTGCGTTACTTTGTGATAAGCGTTAAGTGTTTCCTTCCCCGAATTCTCTACTCTACTCCACGAAATCTTTTCTCGTTGATATAGATCTTAAGACAGTTGGCCTCTCAAGCGGTTAGGCTGAGGGATATCGTTTCTTAGACTGAGAATTTAATATTGTTTCCTCTTAATTTCTCCTTTCACTCTTTTTCGTGTTCAATCAATTGAATTTGTATCAATTATGCACTAAATTACTTATCGAAACTTTTTCGAACCCAATACCGTTTCACTTTCCAAGTGACCTTTGGCCGAAGTTTTATTTATTAGCGTAAACTTTGGCTGCCCTTAATTAAATATCCTTTACAGCGCATTTCTCGGCCGAACTTGATGAATGATTTTCCTTTTCTTTGGCTGATTTGGGTTTCCCGAACTTTTCGATTTCCCTCACACTTGCCCGGAAACTCGGGTTCTTTTTGGCCGGGCAATCTGTCAACTTGTCAGAAAGTTTTCAAAACGCAGCTCAAAGTTCAGTCAGCTCAAAAGTTTCCGAGCATTATTTAGTCGCCCAAGAATAAAAAAAACTCAAGTAGCTCAATTTAACAGCAACTGCAACAATAATAATAAACAACAAAAGAAAAAGACATTTTCAGGTGTTCACAAAGGAATTATTTTTACTGCTCCTCGGGCCCTACAAGCCGAATATAATCCCCTCTATTGTATAAATATTATTAAGAGTTCTGTAAATATTTTACAATTCAGCAGGTATGCCAAGCATAAACGAAAACCAAAGATATGAAAATGAGAAGTCCAGGGAAAGGGGATCTTAAGTAATTGTCTGAAGGTGTTTAATGAGTGATAAAAATATAAACTAAAAAAGAAAAGCATTTAATGCTTTATATCTTACGAAATTCTTTATTTGAAACTTTAAATTATTTCTCTTTTAGATTTTTTCTTGTAATAACCAATAGTTTTGTCTTATATTGAATCTGATTATCAAAAAATACCATAAATCCCCAATAATTTCAATCAAGAACAATGATTTAGCATCCCCCTTTCCTACTTGATATGTACCCTATTTTATTTAGCATTACAGTTTAGCTTTAATATTGTATAGTCATAGCAAATACGTAATCGAAACTAAAATAAATAAATTCAACGAGTGTGCAAATAAATGATGATGAGAGATCCGAAATGCTTTTAGTGTGCGAATAATTTAGCTAAATTTTTGTGTGGGCGGGAGAGGATTTGCATTGATTTTCAGATTTTGCAACGCAATTACCACAGCCGCCATAATAGCCAAAGTTTACTAGCCAGACGCAGTTTGGAAAATGATAACGAGCACTTAAGACGGCCACTTGCAATTCAATTTGGCCGGGTCCTGTCGGATAATTGCCAACGCAGTGTCGAGCCGATGGGAAAATCTCAGTCCCAGGGAAAAATCTAAACTGGGTAAGATTAAGAAAGCAGGAGAAGGAGTTGGAGGAGGAGTAGGTTCTTGCGCATTTGCGTATCTTATGCTAAGCACGTTGGCAGGATGTCGACTTTAGTCAAGACAGTCGAGAAGCCGGTAATAATGCTCCACAGGCTCACAAAGGAATTTAAATAATAATAACCATAACAATAAGATACAAACACACGCATACCCACACGCACGCCTCAGAGGGGGTGGCAAGGTCGCCTTGCCCAGGTGGCAACCTGCCGCACTGAATTACGGTCCGCACGTGAGCCCCAACCTAATAATGGGGATATACCGATCTAAGATAACGGCAAATAATTGGAACAATGGGAGCCAGCCAAAGGACAGCACATTTGAACAGGGATATTATTGCATGTTTCCTGAAACTGTCGCACATACACCCATAACTTTGTGTGTGCTGTTTGTACATATATTTTAATATGTGGTTTTAATATCCCCAAATGAAAGGTTGAGATAGCTGTTGAAAGAACTCACTAATTAAGAAAAATTACCGCTTTAGTTCATTCTGAATTGTGTAGCTAAATGCGATTCCTGGAATATAAATATGAGTTTAATCAACATTTAATTACATTCTCGATAATGAAAGAAAATATTCATTTAGCCAAGTCACAAACCTTTTGATTGGTATGAAATTTATGAGGATTTTGTTATTTATAAAGCAAATTGGAATATTCCACAGTTATTATAGTGAAATTCCACTGGTTAATATCTACAAAAATCTTTATTAATCAACTTAATTTTAAATAAATTACCATCTGGTACGAATCAGTTCATTTGACACCCTTAGTTCATATTTCAAGTCATATTTACCTTACTCCCCACCAAAGGTAAGCACTTAATTACAGGTGTGCATAGATATACATATCAGAAGACCTCACAAACCTCATGAAATACTTTAATGCCTCGGGCTTAGCGATTGAAATCTTTTTGTAGCTGCCAAAAACAATGGCGGCTAGGGAACTCTATTGTTCCTGCCAGCACTGAAGTGTCACCACGCTGGGCGATAATAAATCAGACCCGGATAATGTCAACACCAAGGCCCCGCCGACCCCGAGTAAATATTTCTGCTGATGACTTTGTCTCGTGTTGGTGGTGTTAGCTGGCTGGCCCTAACAGTTTGATGCGTTTTTGATGCTACAAGGATTATCATTATTCGGGCTTGAAGTGGTGATGGGCCTTGGATTGAGTCTTTGACAAACGATGAACGACAAACAGTTTTTGGCTTTTTGCGACGCGAGCATCATCGATGACAAAGTGTTGACCCTGTCACGCTGTTTGCTAATTAATTAGCAGCCTTTTGTCCAAAGCAAAGCATCGAAGCTGTGTAGCGTCAAAAATTTAATTAATGTTGGCCATGTGATTCGCCGGAATTCCACAACCCATCAACAAACTTCGCACTGGTTTTTCTTTAAGGACGAAAGCCGGAGACAATGGCAAACAATGCCAAACATCATCGGGCATTGTGATGCCGCGTAACAAGGACCACTTGTTCTCCATTTAATACACAACTAAATTCCCCAGGCCCCACTTTATCCGCCCCAGGAATGACAATGACGTGGGGAGCCGGAGGCGTCCTGACAGCTATCCACACTTGGGATCTGAACGTTAGTGCCAAGTGTACCCACCCGACCACGGAAATTTCGCTTCATTTCCAACTTTTTTTCAGCCCACGCACTCTTTGTACTTAAAGAAAAATGTTTAGGAAATGCTGATAGTTTAAATCTCAGAACTTTTAGTATTTTCTGTAGGCCCAAAGACACTTAAAGAGCTTTTAAAGTTTCTATGTTTAATATTCTATATTCAAATTCGAAATATACACTATTCTATATCAGTTTTTTTCAGTGCATTTGTATGTCCTAGTACCCCGAAACACTCGCATAATTAGCTTTGAACGGCCCTCAATTACAGGGCAAAGGAATCTCATCCCCTCACAGGATAGTTGACAATTGGATGGGCAGATGCCACGAACAGAAAACAAACAGGGCTCTGTAAACAAGGCCCAACAGTTCGAATTGACTATAAAAGCAAACCGCAATAAAACAATCGAATATAAATTCCATACTTATCGGAAGTTTATAGGGCGAACTGTTAAATGCCTTTAAAAATCTAAAGTTAAAGTCAAACCTAATTAAAGTAATTAATTAATGAAAAAGAAATAAAATACTTAACAATACTTACTCTTAAGATAATTGATCAGATGCCTTTTCATCTCGTCGTAGTTGTATGCAAAAAGATGGAGGATGTGATCAGATGTGCCCTTTAGAAAGGCGCAGATGTCCTCGCTCACATCTTTATGGTCTTCAAGGTATACTCCAGTCCGAGGTCCAGAGTTCGATTTGCTTGACGAGTCCATCTTCCCAAGATTCACATTACTTCTAACGAAAGATAGATTTTCAGCGGACTTAATATAAATTCTAATCGTTTCATTCAAAGCAGAGCCTTTAAGAACCTTTCCATTTCGCGGTGAAACTTCTGTAAGCCACTTTTAGCACATAGTTTGTAAAGCAATTAAAGCTAAAAAATTAAAATAAACACGGAATGTTAAAGTGCACTCCAGCTCAAAATTCTAGGAAATCAAACAGATAAAAACTGGAAGAAAAACACCATTGAAAACACAATGCCCACTCGACATGACTCGCACATTATTCTCCCATTGACTCACAAAGAACAGCTGAAAACACACAAATAGACGAATATAAATAGACAATATTTACAAATTGTGACATTCAATAACTTGGAAACATGCTGAACTGACACCTATGGCGACCCCGCAGCAAGGACCAAGGAAACAAAAAAAGGACAACAGATTGCGAAAACACACTTGGCGACGCCGCTAAGTATGCCACACGTTTTGTGGGCCATATATTTTATATGCGGCTCCAGAAAATGTCTGGCGACGAAAACCGTTTTAAACACACCAGAGGCGTGTCCATGGCAGCCATTTCGACTGCCAGTTAGGATAAAGTACACTGAAAAATATAATCAATTATCTAGTTGATGACATCTTTAAAAAGTTGCCGAGTCCCAGGGAAATCAGATAAAGTACTTTCAAAGTTGTGAATTTAATTTAAAATTATTCCTGGCTGAATGCAATGTTTTGGCAAACTTTTTTACCGCCTTTCTTGGTAGATTTTTCAGTGCAGATACTGTAAAGATGAGAATCCGGGTGATGAAGAGTAGCAACCCAGACCGCATCTGTCGGTCACGCTCGACGACGACGAGGAGATGGCGATGAAGTGACGAGGACACCATGGATATTTCCGTATCCCTGCGGTTGCTGTTGTTGGGACTGCAAGTGTTCAACTTTTGACAAGGGACCGATGCCCGAAGGCCTGCAGATTTGTGGGTGACAGTGAAGACAGGCCGCTTTTGTGGTATTGATTTTATGCAGAAAACGTTGGCAATGATAATTTACAATTTGTATGCGGTTTAGCAGAGGAACTCCTGTAGGTGTCCAAGACTGGGAAGGTAGGTATCCGGCACCAGGTACATCTTTTTCGGGTTGCCCTCCTCAATGATCTTCTGCACGTCCTTCTTGGTATTAACGCCACTTCCGACCATCAACGACTGGAAGCCACAGTTTGCCGAGAAGTGGATATCCGTACCGAGTCTAAACGGGATTGATAATATTATTTACTTTCTAAAAATATACATTCAGAGTTCTCTTTGATCTAAGATCATGTACTACCCTATTTAAGGACCACTCACGTGTCGCCCACCATCAATGTGGTTTCCGGCTTGATGATGCCGGCCTGAACGAGTGGAGCCGCCATCCAGGGATTGGGTTTTCCCAACACCAAAGGACACCGTCCTGTAAGGGCTTTCATGGCCGCCAATCCAGCCCCAGCACCTACCATCACCCGGTTATTGCCAATGGGATAGGCGGCATCCAAACAAGTGCCCAGAAACATTATTCTGGGATTCAGCAAATAGGTTCCGGCACGCGCCAGCTTGGCCATGTTGAAGCTCTCATCCCGACCCATAACCACAGCCCCCACATCAGGATCCAGTTTTAGTTCAGCTACGAACTCGTGCATGGGCTTCTCCAGTTTCTCGGCCACTTCCATGGAGCATATGCCAAGATTTTGCAATTCCACGTGCATTCCTTTCTCGCCCATGACGAACGCCTTCTTCTGGAACTTCTTGACGGCCAGAAAGTTGGCACATGCAAAGGACGAGGTCAGAATAGAATCTTCCTCAACCTCAAATCCAAAATCATTTGCCTTTTTGGCCATTTCCATCCTGGACATTTCCGAGTTGTTTGATACAATGAAGACCTTTCGGCCAGTGGACTTCATCAAGTTGAAGGTATCCACCGACCCCTCGATTGCTTTTGAGAAATGCCAAAGGACTCCGTCTGCATCGCAGATCACGGACTCAAAGGAGGACAACCATTGGCGAACCTTCTGCTTTGGCAACTTGGTCAAGTCGGAGAAGGTTTGCTTGAACATGGCTAACCGATCGGATGTTGTGTGTTTCAATCGGAATTCTGAGTTAAAACTAGAAGAAGCTTTGATCTAAGTCAAATGTAAATTTATAAAATTTTATTCATCATAAACAATGGCGATGTAAGCTACAACTTATCTGTTTCTAGAAGGGAGAAAGGGCAAAAGATTGGAGAGTCTTGGAACAAAAAGATCAGGAACTTGCTGATAGGCTAAAGGAACCTTAGATGCCTGAGCTTCGAGGGCATCCTGATAGCTACTAACCCCACTGCCCACCAACAGAGTTTGAAAGCCGCAATTGTAGCCGAACTGAATATCCGTATACAAACTGGAATGACTTATTAAATTAAGTTCATAGTCTCAGTTTATCAGATAAAAACTTACGTATCTCCAATCATTAAAGTCCTCTCCGGCTGAATAATACCCTGACGCATCAGATCGATGCAGATATAGGGATTGGGTTTACCGCAGGTGAAAGGCAACCTTTGGCTGGCAGCCTGGATGGCAGCCACCATAACCCCGGCACAGGGAACATTTCGTCCAGGAGCCGCCGGAAAGGACATATCGCGATTTGTGGCCACGAACATGACATCGGGATCCTTGAGGTAGCAACAGGCCTTTGTCAACTTTACCGAATTGAAATCCTTATCATTGCCCACCACCACAGCACCCACATTGGAATCCAAAAAGATGCTATGGATGTGATCTGGTATTGAGAATCCCTGCAGCATGGAATGATCCAAGGGCAGGCACTCGATCCCTACCAGTTTCAGTTCATCGACGATTCCCTGGCCTCCCACCACGTATACCTTCTTTTTGAACTTTTTCTCCTTCATGAATCGGGCCAAGGTCTGGCCCGATGATAGGATCTCCTTTTTGGTCACCAGAAAACCCATATCCTGCGCCCTCCTGAAGATTCCATCTACCGAGGTGACCGAGTTATTGGTGCATATATAGGCCTTCTTTCCCATGGCTCGAAGGGCATTGAAGGTCTCTGGTGCCTTATCAAGGACTTTGTCATTGTTCCAAAGAACACCATCGCCATCGTATATGATCGTGTCGATGGTCTTCAACCATTGTTGTATACTGTACTTGTTGAGACCCAGAATTTGACAGCCGCCCCTCTGGACACTTCTATTTAGAGCCAAATTCATGTTTAAGTCACGTGGGTATTACCTCTCTGAGTTGAAAAATATTGAACAAATTTGACAATTTAAAGAAAGCAATATAAAGATTTTAGCTACCTAGATGCGATTTTAAAGACTATAAAGTAAAGTAAATCTTTATTCCTCGAACTATTGCCCTATAAATATTACTTTTCAGTTGCACCGAAATCATGACCAAAATGTTTTTGAGCCCAAAACTAGATTAGTTTGCAGGAAATTTCGCTACACGCCTGTCAGAACCAATTGAAAGTTTTTTCGGTTGTCTGGGAAAACTCGGTGCCGACTTTTCAGCTGTCGGCAACGACTCCCCGGGAAAATGTCATCGGCGACGCATTTAATTCACTAAACTTTGCACATTTGTTACTTGGAAAGGAAAAAGGAGGGGGGGCAAGGAGTGGATCGGTCGAGGACCACGTTGCGGTTCGGTGGCGTGGCAAGCATCGCGGATAACTTTTAATTGTGCGCAATGAGCGAAGGCCAAGTCAAGCGGTGAATACAAGGGGAGTTCCTTAGGGTCTTGGGTTCGGTTCAGGGTAACCACCCACTGCTCTCCACCCACTTTTCCCGCCCAACCTCCCAGGGGAGCCACTTGGACTGGTAGCGATGAATTTTCGCCTCCGCATTCGAACAAAAAAACAAATTATTTTATCAGATATAAAGACTACAAATTGATCGAAAATATTTTATAAAATTAGGAATTTAAATACATTTTCCACGAAAAACATCGAATCGGTAAAGCATTTTTCCAAATATTAAGAATTTTTGAAAAACAAACCAAAAAGAAGGAAAATATTTACTTTGCTCTTCAGTTTCTTAATCACTTAACTCCCATCTCAACCATAAATAGAACCTTAGAACATTTTCTTTCAGTGCACACTACCGGCTGTCATTTTGGCTGTCCCGTTGCGCCAATTAAAATGGTATTCGCCTTTATTGTTGACATCGTTGTCGCCTCGGAGGAGCGCCTTTCAAGCGGCACCCAAATCCGACACTTGTCCGACGCTAAACCCAAAGCCAGAGCCAGAATCCCGGATTCCACCGCACCTGGGCATAAATTCATTAAATCTCTTTTCCCTCTGGCAATTTTTGCCCCGCAGTTCCGAGCATTTAACGGATTTCTTTAGCTCTTTGGAACATTCCTTGTTGAATGGCCGCTGGTCAAAAGTGTGCAGAGCTTCCCCTCCTTTTCCCCTTTTTTCCCGGGACTTTAAAAAAGCAACGCAAATTGGCAAACGAGCTGAATTTGTGGCGGAATTTATGGCTGGCCTGCCAGAGGGCTAAATCAAAAGCTAACGAGCGAGTTTTGCGCTTTCCACCCGACCAGCAAACGCGATTTTTCAAATTTCCGCTTGGAAATAAGGAAGAGTTTACACGATACTTATGCCAACAAATTCTGTGGGATTAATTAGCATTCAAAAGCAAAGGCAGGGGTTTCCCCTTAACGTTTAAAAAATTGCAAGATATTATCTTTACAGAAAGAGAGCTTTCAGCCAAACGTTCGCTGTTTAGCATTTTTAAAAATAAATTAGAAAGAAAACCTCGTTTGAAATTCACTTTGAAACAGTAGTCACCTGTCTGTCCAAATTGGTTGTACACAAATGTTTATGTTTTGCTGTTTTACCTGGGCCAGAGTTTTGGGTAAGTGGGCAGCTGCACACGAGGCCTACTCAATTTGCTCAAGTGGAAAACGCTTCGGATTTTTCCATTTGCCTAGATCTCAATTTACACGAGTATTGGGCTTAGATGTACTCGAACATTGATAGATGGGGGGGGTGAAAGCAAACCGAATGCATTTTCCGAACTGAAGAGAAAACCCCAAAACAAGCGAATTCCAATCGACAGACATCGAGAGCAACAGTAACAAATGAAATTTTAAGCACAAAGTTTGCTGAACTTTTTCCAACATTTTTTCCCCATTGACTCCAAACCAAGGGCCAAGAAAAAAAAACCAGAAAACGAACCGAGACCAAAACTTTTTTATTAAGTTTACAAGGCCAAGTTAATTTCCCGGACCCTGGGGCCTGCGCCTGTTTTTCCTAATTAATACCTCGAGACGGACAGCCCAGAAGTAAAGAATAAGAACAAATCCACTTGATTTATATGCTAATCAAGGTTGGCCTGTGGCCCACAACTAACACTTCGGGGCATCGACAGTTGTTGGGATCGAATTAAAGTGAATGAAAAAGGCCCCCGCTGACAACAGCATTCAATGTGGAAACTTTAAATTATCCGCTATCATCGTATAAATCATCCACAGATAGCATCATCAGCTGGGTCACAAGGCGCAATTATTTGTCCAGAATGGATTGCTATTGCCAGGAATTGTTGCCCCCTCGCAAGGCCTCAACTTCCGTGAAAACCTCGAGACGATTTCACCCTAACGGAAAGTCTTTAAAAGGGAATTCAATGGAAAGCACTTTAATACAATAAGTTTGAGAATTTATTCCACTTTTGAGGGTTCTTTTTAAATCCATTTTAAGATCAATTTTACAAAATCTTACTTACTTGTTTTTCTGACTAATCTGTATTAAATTAAATAAACTTTGTAATATATTTGAAAATAATCAAACAGTAAAATTCAATGCTAGGATCGTTATATACCCGTTCCTAGCCTTCTACCCTCGATTCCAGTCTAATCTCTTTTGAGTGGTGAGTGATGGACAGGATTGGGAAACAACAAGCCTCGTCTGGAAAAAAATCTGTTGCAATTCACCAGCTTACAAATGCTAAGCAGAATTCACAAATAAGGCCCAAGAAGAGCAAGGAAAGAGAACATCATAAATACGAGGCATATTCCATTGCCATGGAGATTTCCATAAATGTTACAGACAATTATTCGCTTGTGCTACGAGTTAAACTAGTCGTACTAAATTGAAAAACGAGAATGAATGCCAGGATTTTGCAATGCGATGCAAAAAGCGGAAACACGTGTCTGATGCAGGGCACAGATACTGCAGATATGGGGAGACTTCAGCATGTCCTTCATTGTTTTGCATTCGTAATGTGCGACAAGAGGATTGGAATCCTTTAAGTGCTCGTCAATAATGAACGTTTAACATGTTTCCCTGCTAATTTGAATAATTCTCTTAAAAGAATAACTCATTTAGTGCCCAATTACATTTGAATATGATTGCATTTAAATGCTTTATTGATTACATTTTCTTAATTCCATTAACATGAATATTCTGATTTTCATTCTATTTTCGCTCACATTGAATGCATTTTTAATTCCATTAACCACGACTGGTATCTCGAATATATATAAAGAGCCCTTTTAATAGCAATCAGTGCACCTTATTCAGCCACATACAGTTTAAATGTCAAACGAGTGGCTTAAAGTGAGGGCCAGTCGAACGGCGACCCTGGCCCTGGCCCACGCTGCGTATGAGCAATGCCACAGTTAAAGCCTTGAGGGTGGCAATAAAGGACCTTTGTGTTCGTATGGCGGTTTAGGTCTCACTGAGCGTGCATTAAACCAAATTACAACACATTATAATTTGTGTCAAAAATGTGTCCCTGAAAATTCATTTTCGAGATCCAAGATTTGACAGTCGGACAAACATGAAAATGAACGAGAATATATATATAAATTTTTATGTACTGCAGATAGCAATGAGCCCAAGGCCGAAACATTTGGCAGATGAATAAATAAGCTGAACAAGATTGTGAATCTCTGTCAAATGCAAGGCTATCGAATGTGCAGAGCTTGATGTTTGTTCACTTCTTGAATTAATCTTGGTCAGCAAAAGTGAATGTCATTTAACAAGATTGAAGAGAAGAAAATAAACAACAAGGGGCTTAGATTTAATAAAGAAGTTATTAATATTCAGGTGCTGTCATCTCCATTTGGTCATGGCTTGAAAGTAGTTTTAAATTAGTTTTAATTTAAGGAAATTGAGTGAGTCCTTTTGGATTCCATTGATATTCCCAATGTTAAGGCAGGCACTTTTTAAAGGGTTAGAAACCCTTCTGAACGATTAGTTTTCTCCCAAATACACATTGCAAATGCAACTTAAAGCCCCAGAATTTTTTGAAACCTATCTTTGGCCTCGTCGTTTCCAATTACTAGCAGCAAAATGTGTCACAACCCATTGGCTTTCCACATAACTGAAAGGACCAACTCGAGACTAAGGGTCTGCCATGATGCCTTCTAATTGCTGTAGGTTTTCATGCTTCTGTGAAAGCCTGATTCTGTGAATATGTGAAAATATCTCTAGTGTGTAGTGTAAGACACATACAAGGCAAGGCTCGGGCAATGTTAAATATTTTCCACATATCGATTCACAGCTCAACGCTCCAAAATAAATAATCGCACATATTTCAGGCATAATTAAAGCTGCGGCACCCGCAACGGCTCACGCGACGTCAATCATTGTAATTTATAACGTAAGCAGAAGCGTAACCAAACTTAAGCCATTATTTCCGCTTTATGCTTTTGTTGTTTTTCGCACCGTTTTTCCTCTTAGTTTTTCCACTGTTTGCAGTTACTTTAGCATTTGTGTTTGTTTTCGCTTTCATTTCGTTTTTGCTGCACATTTGCATTTCGTGTCCCGCTGACCACCAAGCCAGCTGACCCTTGAACCCTGCCCCCAGCCATCCAACTGCCGCCACAAACTGCTGCCCATTTCATAAATCATTTGGCACACATGTGTAAAATACCATACACATACAACATGCACTACGAAAAATAAGTAATAATATGAGTAATAATATAAAAATTTATAATAAAAATACTATTAAGTTTCCTTAGGATATTGATTTTTAAAGATTTTTAAATACTTACAAACTCTTTCTTTTAATAATTAAGATTTAAGTTAATCTTTTTTCTTTCAGTGCTTTTCGAGTTGAGTTTCACACTGCCGCGCATTGATTTACAGCCCTTAACCGAAACTTACACATGAGCTTACATCTCCCCAGAGAGGGAATATTAATTTTATATTTATTATGTAACCGACAGAAATTGCCGGCCATCAATATCAAATAAACCAATTACGCAATAATGGCAAAAAGCTGATTAAAAACCATTCGACCAAAAAGTATGCTACAAAAAACATGGCTTTCAAGATAAACATCCATAAACTTTAATATTCATATTTGGCTCATGTAATATGAATATTCTCAAATGCGCAGCCTTTAGAAGGCGACTTAAAAGCACTTTCTGTAATATTTTTAAAACGCCAATCAATTTGTTTTATGCTTTCCTTAAGTTTATTGCTTAAGTTTTGGCTTAAAACATTCTTGTTAAGTTCTCTAGATAGGCTTTTAGGTTTCTTTAGCATAAAAACAATATAAACATATTTTAAGCATTATTTTTTACATAAAGTAACTACAATTTGTAGGGTATTTAAAATGCTTACTATTGAAATATAGCAAAATTTCTTTATTAATGAGTAGCCCCGTGGACTTCTATAGAAAACAGCTCCCGAAAAAATCACAAAACCTATTGCGATAAGTGCTTAGCCCATGGCAACAAAACACAGTCAGGCCAAGAAGAATGAGTCCTACCAACATGTCACGCCCACTCGCCCATTTAGCCGAGGGCTTTCTAATCAGCGGGCAATTGCTGACCCAAATTTTTGGCTCAGTATGACTTAAGGAATGCCAGGCCAACCATAGATGACAATTTAATAAAGCAAATTGAGCGGCTTGTGGCGAAAGTTTTCTTGGTATTTGGATTAATCCATCCCACATCCGTAGCCACCATCCGCTTCCCACATCCGCACCAGCCTTTCAGAGTCGTTAATCAATTAGTTTGCCGCTCTTATACGATTGCTTTGCCCTGGCATGTGGATGTGGTACCTATACACGTATATATATGTTGCCACTTAAGCTGTTATGTATTGATTCAATTCCATATAAACGATGCCCCGCCACGCGCAAATATAATTAATGATCAACTGTCAACAAAACAAAAAAACTTCAGTCATCTCGAATGCATTATGTAAGGCGCTGTATTGAATTTCATTTACCACGCGTAGCAAACTTTTCCAGCTTGAGTGTCCACACGGCGAGTACTTGACCGGATAAAGTTGTCCAGTCAACATTTATTTTCTGCCATTTGTTACGTTTGCTTTTCCTCGCGGGGGATCCCAGATGTCAAACTACCATGTCTGGCCGTTATATCAATGGTTTACTTAAAGATTCCCAGGATATTGGGGTGCTAAAAATAGATATACGGAATTCATTAATCAAGCTAATGTCCAAATGAAAATTTCATTAAGTTGTAAGCTTACGGTAATGTGCGAAATAACATTGCTGGGCATTATTTAGGAAAAATGATGCAAAAATAAGTTTTAATGCTAGTTTAAAATAAATTTGAACTTTGCAAACTGTAATTGTTATAAGTTTTTTATAGACATATTTTATTTCAAATGCATAAAACCTAAAACTAAACCATTTTCCACAGTTGTACACTGCAAAACCTTCTGCACTCTATAAATTTATAGCAGCAGTCACCGCCCCTGCAGCTTCAACGCATTATAAATATTTACGAGCCGTTCGCTCGGGAGGATTCCATGGAGGATACGCACGCATTGGCATGTCCTGATGACGACACATCTGATACGCTTCAGGACAAGGAGCTCTTCCTAAGAAATTGAGCAATAGCGCGGCATTGATTTTGTTTCAGTTATGAATCTTTCTTTCTTTCATAACCTTTCAGTTGGTTGATTAACATTAAACTTTCTACATATATATTTTTATATATATTTATTATCTGAAAAAAATAGCAAGCTAAATGGCCAGAGCCGCAGCCAGAGTGAATTCCCGCAGGACAAACGCCATCACCAGCTCTTTGGTCGATCATTTTTCTTCCCGAGAGGCCGAGGGACGCAGTGCAGCCGGAGGCATATTAATGATGTCTTTATGGCGACCACATGGGCATTGGAAAATTCCCCAGTGGCACTGGCTTACCCACACAATTTACGAGCGTAGTGCATCCATCTGGTAATTAAAAAATAGAAAACACTTTACCCGCAAATGCTGATTTATGTGGATGCAACATTGCAGTACCCAAATTTGCCTCCTTTGCAACCTCTAAACTCCCTACAGAATACAGTCAAAGTTACTCAATTTTAAGTTCCCCCGGGACTATTTTTTCGGAGTGCACTCTTAATGGCTTCATTCACATACGCATTACTTATTTGCTTGGCAATCTGTCAACTGTTTTACGGCTGACTTCATGTGCGACGTGCTCCTGGAAAGTTGTACGTATTTTAAGGCGACTTCTGAGAGAAATCGTTGAACCACGTGCCGCCACCCCCTCGACTACCCATCGATATAAACACTTCGAGGGCATTACAAACTGTACGATGTTGCAACTTCAGGAAAAGGAGAAAACCTTCGTTAAGCTCCACTGCCGACTAACTCCCAATGCACATGACACTCCCACTAATTGAGTCATAAATAAAAGAGAGGCTTTATTTCCGGCTTCTAAGGGGTTTCTATGGGGTACATTTGTTTAGAATGGAGTATCTGGTTGGGCCTCGACCACAAAGTTGGGCACACCATCCGCCGTTTCAAGCTGTTGGGTGACCTTGATCGCTCTAAATTGGTTAGCCTGGAACATGGCCGCCACTTGCTTGCGCAGCGGTTCCAAAGACTCCAAAGCCGCCTTGAGTTGGGAAGCCAGCGATGGATGAATGTTGGCAACCATTTTGGCTATAAGGTCGGTGATAATTAGGTCGAGGTCGTTGTTGCTTACGCAACCCAACCTCCCGTTGAGATAGAGCAAAGTTTGGAGGTTGGATATAAACTCCCTTGTATCATCCGATTGTACCTTCAGGGATTTCTCAATACCAGCCGACTTGACATCAAGTTCCGCCTGCTGGCGACATTGAAAAAAGACACCGCTAGTGGGAGGACCTCCTTTGGCCTCCAGCTCATCCTCCTGCTTTTGATACTCGGCCAGGTACTCATAGAGGATGTGCATGGGTTCTATTACATCGGTGTTAACCCGATGCAGGGTTATCATATGTGCTGCATAGCGGCGCTGCAGTTTTTCCCGTTCAGATGTCATCCTGGCATCGCGACGACTGCTCGACACAGTTGACTCCTTGCCCTCCTCAAAGTCTGCGGTCATTTGGGCTATTTCCATCACGGTTTTCCGTTTAATATCCAAATGTTTCTTAACCTGCAGTATGGACTCCAGGAGCTCCTTGGTATACTGCATATCGCCGACCCTCTCGGTCTTGGCAGCTTTGGTTTCAGTGCTCTTGGGCTTTTGGTTTGCTTCCATCAGCATAGATGTCGACAGTGTCTTGGATTCCTGCTGCGAATGGATCTCTAAGTCCAGAAGACTTAGTACAACTATCTTGCCATTCTTAACGAAGCGAACCAGATAGGTAAAGTCCTCTGGATTGTAGTCCAAGACACAACCGTCGATGATGCCCTTGTGGTCTGGTCCCACCAGAAAACTGGTGACCTTGGCATCCACGGTAAGTGGTAATGGAATACGTTTCGGTAAGTGATTCGCAAAGGGATCGTCCTCTTTTGAATCGTAGCGATTCTGCTGCAACTTCCTGACCATCCGACGATAGCGCTGGATTAATCCACGTTCCTGTTCGATGAAGGCAGGGGAGTATCGACGGGCCTTTCCCATGCACCGTCGTATTAACTGCCATCCTCGACGTGGCATGCAGCAGGTTGCCAGGTCTGGGAAGCACTCGGTTAAATAGTGCTTCATGTCGTAGGTACAGCCCAAGGTCGATTTGTCCATAACCGAGTCCACAAACTCGCACCAGATCCAACGGTGCGAGCTGAGTTGCTTCAAGAAGTTATATAACCTTAAGGAGGAGATAGAACATGATTACTAAATTATTAGAGTCCCGAACTTTACGCACCTCTTGGCGGGTAAAAATTTATTTTTCAAAAGGTCATCCCTCTGGTTTTCTTCCTCGTACTCTTCACCCGAAGAACACTCAGGGGCAGAAACGTCCGGTCCAGTCTTCCTCTGACTTACAGGCTCTTCCTTAACCTGGTTTATCTTAGTGAAGTCGGGACGTTTCACAAATAACTCGTCGTCTTCAAAGCCGGTAACCAGTTTTTTGGGGTTTTTCACTTGACGTTGACGAATCTCCGACATTCTGCGAGAATAACTTAATATATTTAGTTCTAAGCTGTTAATATTTATTTATTGATAATTTAAGTTTTTTACGTTGTATTTGCCAGAAGTCCAATATTTGCCAGGAACTTGTTTTCCTCTGAAATTTCAGTTTGATTTGTTAAACTTTTTCTCGTAAGTCGATCAATTGGCATGCTGCAAAAGTCTACTAAGGTTTTAGAAAATTCTAACAAGGTTTTTGCTCCTACGTTTGTTCTCAGATAAAATTTTCAGTTTGTAATTTGACATTTGACATTAGGTTTCCCAGGCTGGGTTTCCACCTAATCAGACATATTTTATAAGGCATGAGGTAGGGTGACAATGAAACTAAACTAAACTATTATTATTAATAAGCTTTATAATATATTATAATATAAGCAGCTACCATTTTCAAATTAAAATGCCAATTCAATGGAATAATCGACTTTTACGTTGTTTTATTCAGACATGGCAATATTATATAATAAACAAACAAAAACAACAACTGGATTATGTTTGGATTTTCGTTATGGATTTTATTGGCCATTTCCGTTTTGGCAGGCAAACATTGTTTTTCTTGTTTAATTCATTGATTTGATTCCTGTTTTTGCCACGTCCTGGAACTGTTGATTTTCCGAATGAAATCTGTTGAATTTTTAATTTGAAAAACTTTTGTTTGATTTCCGCTGCTGGTGCGAATTGCATAACAAGACAATGGTTGGGGCAAAACTCAATTTAGGAATGAAAAAAAATAGTAAACAGCCAAAGTTTTGCTGGACTCCCCAAAGAGGTCCATGGCCGACATGGTCGTACTGGTCATTGGGGCGCGTAATTAATAAAGTTTGCATACGACTGTTGCCCTGGCTAAAACAGCCGCCAACAATTTTCGGATTACCAAGTGGCAGAACATTATTGGCTGCGTACTTTTAGCCCAATTTCGGTGTCTGTGATGTGGTAAGTACTCCTAATTTCGAGTATGCACTGAAAGCAATCTGCCTAGGGTTGTAGGTTTCACTTTGCAAGACTGGAATTTAGGTTAAGAAGAATGAATTAATGATATAATGATAATGATAATGATAAGGTGAAAAGATATTCAGTAGCATACTTAAACCAGTTAATACAAGTCTTGAACATTTTCCAAGTCTTTTTCCCAGTGCCTGAAAACCACTGACACGTGTTGTGGTTTCTTTCTCGGGGAAAAAGGAAATTGGATATTCAGACTTAAAGGAACTTAAAGGGATCTCTTGCCATCAGGATATCGATTGCTTTTCTCACCTCATTCAATTTGCTGTTCACACAGAGCTTCCGGCGAACCGAAGAACGAAGAAGAGAGAATCCCATTTTAATTTGCATTCCTTTGCCTCGAAGAAGCAGCGGGTTGTCCTAATGCAGGACCCCTGCAGCTTGTACTCACTTAATCAGCAGGCAGACAAAGGTGAAACAGGTGGCAAAAAGAGATGGAGCTGGAGACCAGGCAACATGCGCTGAAATTAAAAATCCAAGCCAGACAAATGGTTGGGAGCCACATACTGTCGACGGTTGTCCCCGTTCCAGGATCATACAACACAAAACATTGACATTGAACTAATGAAAGCTCCAGGCGACCTGCCACGCCCAACCGAACCGCCCACCCAAGAGATTTCAGCCAGCAGAATGGGCGATGATATGTCGTGCCAACGGGTTATTCATGTGCACGGCTATATCTATACGTATTCTCGTGTGGCTATATGTGCCCAACATGGCGATGTTGGCTTTTGGTCTGACTCGCTTTCTGCCTGCGGGGCATTTTTCCACTTGGCCAAAAAAACTGGCTTCGGTTCTGGCTTAAATGTTTAACAGCGCCTGACAGCTGGTTAAAAAAAAGAGGCAAGAAGTTAAAACAACAAACCTAAAAAAGCTAAAAGAGCTCCTCAGATATTCTGATGGTGAAACTGAAACCACTTAAAAAGGTATCTAAAATTATGCAGCAATATAGATGAACGGCCCAAAGGCTGTTATACTTTTCAAAGCATACTTTTTAGCTTACTACAAAAAACACACACACGCCTTAGTGCAGAATAATATTAAGATTTTTCAATCGATTGAAAATGTTTTCGAAACTCGTGACAAAAAAAATTTAAAATCTTTTTATCATTAAATTTATTTCTGTTATAAATTATTCCCAGTGTAAGATAGTCTCACAAGCTTGTCGAACTTAAATTCTTGAGCTGACAGCTTTAGCTTCTTCCTCATCTTTGGCAGCGCCCCGCCTTATACTTATGGCTTTTACTGTGCATTTACAGTTTATGACAGTTTGAGGACATTAAAATTGAAGCAGTTTGTATCGCCAGCTTTCAGTGGCCACATGGGGTGAAGCTGGCTTATCGCCACACGCCACTTTCATGGCCACGGAACATATTAATTGATTCGAGAGTTTGGTCTTTAAAGCGGGATTTTAGAGCGGACATAACAAAGCCACTTGGGGAGTCTGTGAAAGTCATTGACTTGACCCAAGAAAGTCACGTATCAGACGGAAAAAAAAGGAAAAGCAGAGTTGCAAAAAGGAAACAAAGCTCTTGCTTATTTATATACCATATAGTCACACATTTGTCGCATTAATTGAAAGCGCGAAAGTGACAGGCAAAAACTTTTTGCGGGCTGGACAAATTTTGGGTTTTTATTGGGTTTTATTTTATTTTTATCAAAACTCATTTGACAAGAAGGGCGCTTTCAACCGTTATCATAAGGCCACACAAAAAGGGTCCGAATTGGCCCTTGAAAATGCCAATAATAATTATAAATATATGCGACTGCTACCCACATCAAAGTGAAACAGCATTTGAACCTCTGGGAAATGTAGGACAAACCGCAATAAAAACCCAAAAAATTGGGTAAATAAAAACAAAAATGAATACCATTGACGTGTAAAATATCACCTTTGCGGTTTTCCCATTCGAACCGTGAAAAAGCTAATTTATTTAGCTTTAACATGTCAAAATCAGGACTTCAATTTTCTTTAAATTAAAAGTGCATGCCAATTTTATTTAATATTTACTTATAATTTCTCCTCTTAAATCAGAAAATAGCAACTTTAAGTTAAGCTTCTTTGATGACCAAGTCAGAAATCTGGAAAGCTTTCCTCCACAAATGACAATGATTTCGTGCACCGAATTTCCCCGGGTTTTCGATTTCAATTACTATCGCTTTTATTTCAATTCATGTTCAATTTTTCCAGTTATTTTACAGCCATTGTCTGCGGCAAGGCGCCTTTGACTTGGACTTGGCCTCCTCCTCCTGCTGCTCCTTCTCCTGCTGCTGACATTGGCTTTTTATCGGAGTTTTCTTTTGGTTCGCCAGCCCGTAAAATGCTCATGTGATTGCATTGTCTCCGACATGCACTGAAAAAAATGTTCTTTATCGGTTTTTTAGCAAGTTTTATTTTATAAATACTTCATTGTTATTTTTTAAATATTTATTTTATGAGCTATTTAGCTTTACATTAGGCAAAATAAATTATAGAAGAAATACAAAATTGATTATTTTTTGCAATGTACCAGCGAAATGGCTGATCCAATTGTTAGATCTATTTGGTTGATTCAACGGATGGACAATGCAGCAAATCCTCTTATCAAATTGTCATCGTCATTAAATCGCAATTAGCCAACACCACAGCAAAGGCAGTAACAACAATCTGTCGAGGATTTGGGGCGCCTCAATTGCTGACGACAGCAACTGGAAAAACAGAGAACTTTTAAGCGGAAACACGCGCCTGGCTAGCTGAACTTTGCTGTCCTCCGTTGTACTCAGAAATTCTGAGACATCCTGAGATGTTCTGGCCATTTTCCCCTCTCCGAGTCAAACTGAAATTGACTTAAGCGCCTCTGCTCCCAGCACCAGCAGCCATCCCCGTCCGCTTTCATTAGCCAAAAGGACAAGGGAGAAAGAGATGAGGAGCTCAGGATTCAGGATTCAAGATTTCAGGACCAAGTCATTGACACCGTCGTTGTTTTTCTTTGCCTTCTGTTGGCAACTTCTTCTGTTCTTTGCTTAACTTGAAGTAAATCAGCTTAGCTGATTCCGCCCGATTTTAGCCCTGTCAACGAGATACCCAGATGACGGATGACGGCGTCATGTTTCGACCGACTTTATTTTTGGCCTAGCAAGTGCAGATGCGGTCAGAAAATTAGTGGTAAAGTCAAGTGGGGTTCTGTGGTTTGGCAACTCAAAGCTGGAATTTCTTAAAAGCTGTTTAATTAAATAGTTTCTTAATAAATATCTTCCTAGATGTTCAACTTAAAGTACTAAAGTAAAGCTTATCCATTTAGCTATTTCCTTGACCGCATCTGTAGATAGCCAGCGGGTAGTGGATTTATGTCACGGAAGTTAAAAAAGACTAAGGCGTCTACCAAAATGGATTCCACTGGGCATTTGCATACTCAAGAGTCTCTCATATCGTCCGGTTCCTGGCTGTTAAGTGGTGGCTATTCATGGAAGGGATCTACCCTCAACAGCTTGAAAACTTAAAGTCAATTTTACTTAAGTCTGGTGAGGAAATGCACAACAGCAATAAGGCATTTGCCATGTTTTTCCAACCGACAAGGAAAGCGCAACAATCGCCACCACATACAAGGAATATATACATATAGATGTGTGTATATCAGAAATATATATAGTATATATGAGTGGTACTGGTGTTGTTAGTGTAAAAAGGAAGCCGTTGTGGGTGGATTTTTGTGAAGCTTCCTTGTCGAGCATTTCCGTTGAATTATAAACATTTATTTCGCATCGCACTGCACGGCTGCTGTGCCAGTTGGGCCAAAAGCCCGGCGTTTGGCGAATCCGATTGCGGAATGCGGTCACATAGAGATGGGAACGTGACGGACGAAATATTGGCCAATCTTTGGGGCATCCACGTTATTTCTGGATATCCAACTTCACTGTCAAGCCAATTAGGCAGAGTGCTTACGCTGCTAAAACACGCAAAACTCCCGACGGAAGCATCCTGCATGACTGGTTATGTTTTTAATTGAAGTTTCCATATTTACAGAAATACACACGAGCAGAAAAGTAATTATAACCCAAAAGCCAAAGGAAAAACAATAAACTTTAAGTAAAAAGGACACCCAATATATAAAATGACTTTTATAATAATTCATTAGGTTCTGGTTTCTTTAACCTACTGCAAAAAGTTTTCTAACAATACGCCACCCTCTAAGCCCGATTTGGATTATGTTGGCCAACTTTTGTATAGTTTTCAGGCTTATGATCTTCCTCTGAGTTTTCCCCCAGACTTTTCAACTATTTCCATATATTTATAAAGTGTTTACCTCATACAGCAGCACACGCAAAAGGATAAGTGGAAATTTTCACGCAAAGAACGTGACCATTTTCATGGTTAGATTTCTTTAGTTTCTCCTTTTTTTCGTCGGTAACTTAACGTTCAAGTTTGTATTATTCCAAGCTCAGAACAACAACAAATTGTTTTGGAACTTAACAAAAATAAAAAAAAGTATTGTCGTTGCAGAACCAAGAGCACTGAGGGAAATGTTGCAACATACGAGGTGTGTTCAAAAAGTAAGGTGACTTTTCAAATTTCGCGGGCAACATATTTTCGATTATCGATTTTTTTGTTTTGTTATATTGGTACACTCTTCCCTAACATCTGTACCAAGTTTCAATGGAACATCCTCTTTTGTTTGGTTGTGAGAGGCGTAAAGTTACAAGTTATTTTGCGAGCTCGGCGATTTTTTGCTATCGAAAAATATGGATCAAAGGATTTGCATCAAATTTTGTGTAAAAAATAAAATTAAGTGCTCTGAAACACTTGAAATGTTGACAGTGGCATACGGTGAAACTGTTCTGAGTAAAAAAAATGTGTACAAGTGGTACAAACTCTTCCAAGATGGCCGGGAAGATGCCAATGACCAGCCTCGCTCTGGACGCCCAAGCACGTCAACAACTGATGAAAACGTTCAAGCAGTGACGAAAATTGTTTTGGAAAATCGTCGAATCACTATCAGAGAAGTTGCTGAAGATGTCGGTATATCGCTTGGCTCGTGCCATGAAATTTTTTCAAACGTTTTGGGTATGAGTCGTGTGTCAGCGAAGTTTGTTCCGAAATTGCTGAATTTTGACCAAAAGAACCGTCGCATGAGCATCGCTCAAGAGCTGTTGAATGACGTCAACGACGACCCAGATTTACTCAAAAGGGTCATAACTGGTGACGAATCATGGGTATATGGTTATGATATCGAAACCAAAGCCCAATCGTCCCAATGGAAGAGCCCAGGCGAGCCAAGACCGAAAAAAGCACGCCAAGTTCGATCAAATGTCAAAGTTTTGATCACTGTTTTCTTCGATTACCGTGGCGTGGTGCATCAGGAGTTCTTACCATATGGTCGTACGGTCAATAAACAGTATTATCTGGAAGTTATGCGCCGTTTGCGAGAAGCAATACGAAAGAAACGTCCAGAATTGTGGAAAAACAATTCATGGCTTTTGCATCACGATAATGCCCCTGCTCACTCATCTTTGCTTGTGAGAGATTTTTTGGCCAAAAACAACACCACAATAATGCCTCAGCCACCATATTCACCGGATTTGGCCCCATGTGACTTTTTCTTGTTCCCAAAACTGAAGAGACCTATGAAAGGACGGAGATTTGCAACGATTGAAGAGATAAAGACTGCATCGCTGCAAGAGCTCAAGGCTATACCGAAAAGTGCTTATGGGAAGTGCTTTGAGGATTGGAAAAACCGTTGGCATAAGTGTATTGTATCTGAGGGGGATTACTTTGAAGGGGACAACATAAATATTGATAAATAAATTAATAGTTTTTCTTGAAAATACAAAGTCACCTTACTTTTTGAACACACCTCGTACATTTTTATCAACTTTAACATTTTTGGGAATCTCTCATTTTACGTTTTTTTTATGTTATATGCCTTAAGAACATAAACCTATATATATATTTCTTATCAAAATCAGAATCCAAGTCGGTGTAGCCATGGAAGTACTCTAAAATCTATAGAACTAAAAAGCAACAATCTGCCTTATCAAAATTGCCTTAGGAATTCTGTTTATGTTTATGTTCTCGATTTTGAAATTATTAGCTCTTAAAAAACCTATTTATTCTGGCATATAGGCCCATAAAGGGTCAGTCGAGATTGGTTTTAAGAGTAGCAGGTTGCTATAGAAAATGCTGATGTTATTCCTACACGGTATTAGTTTTGTGCTTATTGAAAGTTATACAAGAATTGTGAATCTGTCGCGAATCGAGACATCGTATTTCTTATATGTTTTTTTCTTTTATTCCAGTCAATGTGATATCGATGATATGCCATGCTATCACCATCGCCGTTTATCTTTGCGTAAAGGAGCTCCGGAATACGCTCGGAAAATGCGTAGTCTGCTGCTTATTATGTCGGCTTACTATTGAACTCTTGTTCATGTTTTTTGATACGAGGACGGCCTTCAATTATCTAATTTGTTAAGTGTTCTGTTTGAATTGCCAAGACTTTGAAATAATTTGTTCTATTGCAGATTTCATTTTTGATTTTTTCTTGGCTGCTTTGTGGCTGTGGTTGTCGGTCATGAGTTTTCACTTGTGGCAAGTCTTTGGATCAGTAGCATTCGATGAACATCGTCATCAATTCCTGGTCTACAACGTTTTTGTTTGGATTACAGCTGCAATCTTAGTGACAGTCAACACAATATATAATTTTTTTTTTAATAGTACAGGTAATTTCAGGATATTCCAACAAGAAAATGTTTTTAAGAAAGGGCTTAACTTATTAAAATCAATGAGCTTAAAAAGAAAGAAAACTCTTGCAGTCTCTACATACAAAGAACAAAGTGTTAAATCTAGTAATACTTCAACTTCCTTTGCATTTAGTGTGGACTCTCTTTAGTATTTTTAATTTCACCATGTTTATCCTGACTGTCCGAAACATTTGGAAAGTAAGGAGAGAACTGAAGAAGTTTGCACAACGAAGGGAGATTCCACCGACCTGTCTCCATTTTGATACCCAAACGTAAGCCCTACATTTGTTTTGGATTTTTCTAACTAATTATCACTTTCCATTGTAATCCAAACACAGCTATCAACAGCTTACAGGACTAATCGCCGTAATGGGCCTTAATAACAGCGCAGCTATTTTTCTTACATATGTTAACTTTTTTAAAATGGATTCAGATAGCTCTATGCTGGAGGATATAGGAAACTGGTTATTTCACTGCTCTGGTATAATCGTTTTTATTTTGCTTATTTTAAAGCGAAGCACTCTGAAGCTTCTCAAGGACAGGTAAATTGTATGAGATTAAAAATAATATTTAAAATAACATTTCCCATTTCTTCTAGATTGTATTAAAAGAATATTAATTGTATTTATAAAATAAAAAATATATATATGTTGTTATATGATTTTTTTGCCTGTGCATCCACGCAGATGTGGGCAGCGTCATCGTCTGCATTTGCCTGCAGTTTTTTGATGCTTTGTTTCGAAGTTCGCCCAGCTGCACTTTGTAAATGTCAGCCAAAAGGACTTGGCTCCGTGGGCGGACAGACGGGCTGGGAGGGCGGAAGTGCGGAAGGGGTCCAAAAAGGTTATGCGGCGCCACATGACATTTGGCAAACGCATGCAAACGAATCCTGCGGCGTCCCAAAGATTTCTCCTATTTGAAACCCCATAAATTACAAGCGGCAGACTAGCTGATAAAAACGAGAGTTATATGCAGAGGCGTCTTTGTGTTTATTTTATTGATTGCTTTGTATAATGTTCGAATTAATTAGTGATGGGCAAGGCTTCCAAATGAGATAATGGCCCGATAGTTAAGCATATTTATCACCGCTAACGATTTCCCAATGGCAAAATTATGAGAGGCTCTGTAATTTATATATACTTTTTAGATCTTAAATAATACATTTTGATGTCTGTTAACCAAATTAAGTTTGTTCTAAGCTCAAGAATAAAACAATTTAATAAATAGATTCAGTATACTTACCCAGAAGTACACCCAATTTCCCATTTCACAGACCCCTTTAAGATTTAACACCTCTCGTAGCACAGCAAAACAAATTCAACTCATACACATAACTCTACGTTTATTGTCGAACCCACATTTCCTTTTCATGGTCTTTAAATTTGAACCCTAGGCTTTAGAATCGATTCCTTGTTGCTCTTTATGTGGGGGACAATTTATCAGGAACCCAGAACCAACCCTCGGAACTATAAAAACACAAATCGTTTGTGTGGAATGCAAAAATAATTTGCAAATCAAAGATTGATGCAGAAAAACGAGCGAAAAAGGAGCAAAAAAATCGGATTCCAAAACCCACTGAACATTGCGTATACGCAGCATTGTCGTGGCCGTAGTCGAGAGTTGATGACATGACCAACAAATCGTAAATTCGATAAAAGGAAATTAGAAGGAAAGGCATCCAAGGACAAAAAAGGGAAAACCGTAGGAAGAAAAGGAGTGCGCGGGATTTTCCATTTGTTTGTCTTCAAGGGGAATTTAATTCAGCTATCAATAAGAAATTTTCCACAGCTGTATGGAAATTGAATACCGAATCCGTCGCCTCAATATTTGCAAATTACGAGTCGTGTAAGGCCATAAATTGATTATCTCAAGTGTGTTTATGTTTGCTTTCGATTAGGCTGCATCACGTACCCGAAATTACTCAGGTTTTATCAATGAATTATGAACGGAGTCTAGACTTTGCCCTTCTCTGACTCGCATTTTAATAATGGTAATTTAGTCCTAATTTGTCCAAATATTAATTGTCCGAACTCGTTGACCATTAATTGGAATTGTTGAAATGTGTGAACTATCTGAAATTATAATCTCTGCTGCCAAAAATTCCTGTCGATGGGCAATTAAAACTTTATTTACTGCAAAGCCATAAGAAAAATGCAGCGAACAATTTCGCAGTTGTCTGAAAAGCCTTGGGCGGCAGCTTTTCAACTTAGCGGAAAATTTTCCGAGTCACAAGGGAACCTCAAGATAAAAGAAGCTGGAAAACAAACAAAGCAAAGGAAAAAGACTGATTTATTTCCACCCCACCTTTATTGATGTTTTTAATACTTAGGTAAAACATTTTACTGCGTAATCTTCCGTAGAAACTTAATTAATGAGAAGAACAGAAAATAAAGAAAAGATTAAAAGCTTACAAACAATCAAAGTTAAGATGTGAAAAGGTAAATAGAAAAGGCGAGTTAATTAAAGGCTACTCTCCAGTTAATAAAAATAAGTTTCCTTTAAGATTCAGCGGTAGAAGCAAAAAAACGAAGCTTGAATGCAATTTTTAAAGATGAAGTTTATTGCCAACCCTAGTAACCGAAGGCACTTTGCAAGACTCAAAAGTAATTAAAACCAGATGATGTTGGTAATCATAAACGGATGGAAAACTATTTTATTAAACCGGCCAAACAGATTGCTCACTGAAAGATAATAATCCAATTCAAAGATACCTTCTACGGGGGCCTTTACAGGCAAAGACCTTAAAGATCGTAAAAATTTACAACTTTGGTAATTGCAAAATAGTTTTCCATAGCATGGGATAGTCAGAATAAAGGTACAGGGAAGACATATATATATTGCCGATAACAGACACCTACACCAGAAACCCAGTCATATATCCAAGCACCTATCCATAAAAGATGCCGGGCAGATTTTATTGAGACATTATCAGGCGAAATAAACGGGGACAATTTGCCGAAAATTGGGGACTGGGCCGAAGAGTCTGTTTTATGAATGCCATTTTGACAGGAGATGACAGCAAAAGGCGTTACAAATTGCCGGGCGGGGCGTGGCAATGGGCATAGTTTTTTGGTCAGCTATCAGTCCTGTAATGAATGGAAATGTATGAGCAAGAATCAAGCACTCGCAAAAATTTAGTCTCTACTTTAAGATGCTTCAAATTAATTATTTTGTAGCTAGCTTACTTTTTTACATGATTTTTAAACTTAAATATCTATATATCATGACCGGATAAATATATTTTTGTTTATTTTTTTATTTATTTATATTAATTTTTCAAAGTGTTTACTGCGTGGGATTTCGGAATTGACTTTTATGGCTCATAACCCACTGCACTGAAATCGGTGAATGGAGGAATATTTGTGTGCGCTTTTCCCGATTTATCATCTGCAAGGCAAAGTGGCGCCACTTTATTTGCCCCGTTTGCCTGACCAATTAATTGAGCAATAAAATGCAAAAACCAAAACAAATTAAATACGAGTAAAAAGTTGGCTCCGCCAAAATATTTGTCCTGGCTGGAGCTGCTGTCTGGTGACACTTCGATCCGCAGAGGGCAGGACCTGAAAGTGAAAGAAAATCATAAATAAACATTTGCCTGGTGCAAACAGCGAGTTTTTCCGAAAAGAGCCATTAGAAAGTGGCGATGGTGGTGCAAGTGGGTGGTGTTTTGGCTGGTTTGGTGGCTTGGGAGGTGTCAAGAGCGCGATAGCCTGTTGACAGCTGGGAAAGCGGATATGGTCTGGGCGACACTCCGCCTTGTTCCTTTGGAGGTTCGTGTTTATGCAAAATTGAATTTCGAGCATTTACTCAAATATATAAAATGGGACAAATTCTGCAAAACGGAGCTGCAAAGCTTATAAAATTAACTTCTTAACCTACTTTAAGAAGCCAACTTGTATACACGATTTAGGGTTCATACTGGCGCATATTAAGAGAAATGAAAATATATACTTCCAAAATTTGTATTTTGTAAGTAATTTGTTTTGAAGTAAATTAGGGTTAGGTAAACAATCAACATTAAGTGGATTAGGTCTTGAAGAGGTCTTTATTTAAAACGAAATAAGAATAAATTGTTTACCTCGCTTTTAACAATTTATTTTTTTAATTACAAAAAAAGCTGAAAACAAAACAATTTTAAATATTAATATGGTTCTAGTCATGACTAGAACCGCTGTTATCGATTTATTAAATTCTTAAGCACGTTGGCGCGCACACATATCGATTATAAGACACCAGTAGCGTTGCCACCTCTCCTGACAAGGAAATTATACCTCTTCACAACAGATATTAAAGTTATTTCCAATAAGACCTTTATTTGGTCGTCGTTTATAACTTCTTAAATAACAATGTAAGTGAACACAATTGGTATCAAAAATCAAAACAAAGAACAGCTGACGCAAGCCCGAAAATATTAAGAGCTATATGGGAGTTATCGATAGGAAACATGCGGTAGTGTGCAGACACTATAAATTTGGGGGGAAACTGGATTTTTTAGGGAATTCATCTGGTTCTAACTTGAGTGTGCGACGTCGGTTTTTTCGTCGTCGCGACTTTTTTTAAATAAACTGGAGACATTCGAAAATACTTTAAGTCTAATTGATCAGGAATTCGTGCATAATGTCGGTTGTGATATTGAGCTTTTTGTGAAGAAGCGTCTAAGTAGTGGGTAAGAATAGTGTCAATCGAAAGAAAAGAACAAATTAGAACATTTTTGCCACGAGAATATCAAGTGCGTAGGTGTGTGTCAGTGCTTATGTGTGTGTGTGACTGTTGTCTTCTCTGAGTGTGTGAATGGGGAGAAGGAAATAATAACCCCCCTTCCCCCTCACCTTTACGTTGCTCCATTAAAACAACAAATACAGAGAGTAAGAAAGAGAGAGAGAGAGACTTGTAACCAAGTCCCGTTACAACAATGGTAATACGGAAATGTGCAACAGAAAAAATACAACAAGCAACAACAATAAGGAGATGTAGTTCGAGTTTTGTGGGCCTTTCGTGCAGAAATTACCAGTTTTTCTGCAAAAAATCGAGTTTTCCCAGCTGCGCCACAGAGACAGCAACACCAACAACTGATTTTCCGCATTGCAGTTGCGCCAACTAACACCAATTTTTTTGGGGCTTCGTGCTTTTGCGCTCTTTTTGCATTCAACCCGCGTTTAATAAACAATTAATCGCCGAGCAATAAACAACCGCAAGCGCCGCATAGAAATTTTAACCTTTTCAAAATATTACACCATCGTTACATAATATAGTTTTCAAGTCGTGCTTCGTGCTTTTTCGGTTTTGTTTTGCTTTTTGACCCTCTTCTTTGGGTTCGTTTCTTGTGCTTCCTCTTCTGTGCGAGAACTCTCAACAACCTGTTAGAGATCGGGTCTAATTGGAAATATCGCTAACAACGTTTATGCGGGGTTATAGCATTAGAAATTCTAGAATTAAAAAGGTATTAAGTTGTTTTATAACTATAAGTAATGAAAGAAAATTTAAGATATAATTGGAGTTGTAAATTGCTTAAAATCTATTAAAATCCCAGATAGATTTAAGGGAAACAATTTATTAAAAACAGCTGTGCTTGCCCTTACAAAGCTTATCAGTTAATGATTAATGTATACACATAGGTATTACAAGTAAATCCAATAACAACTGTATTTTAAGTTTTGAAATATTCTTGTCTGTGTTGGGTGTATCAAAATGTGTGTTTATCAGGAATGTTTTTAATTCCCCCAATTAGCATTAATGGAATTCCCACATAAATGACTTTTTACACTCACCACACCACACGCAATCGATATTGTTCTATAGTTTGTTCACCTTCTCCCTACCTGTTTCTCAGCGTTTTGCTCTTTCCACCTGTGGGCAATTACCGCCGTTATTTGATCCATCAAACATGTGAGAAATACCGCCAGCAATACGATTTGTTCACATTCTCAGTGGGCCAAGGGCCGCAGCGCCGCACCGTCCTGTGCTTTCGCAATCAGCTCCTTGATCCCAACGGCTTTGAGGCGTGAGTACTAGATAATGATATTACATCTTATAATTTGTTACAGCTAATACATTTGTATATGAACTTATGTTTTTAATTGTTGATAGCTTATCACTCATTAAATAACTTATAATTAATTCATAATTAACAGTCGCAAGCAGCAGCAGCAGAGGGATAAAGAGAGAGAGCGCCATCAGCAGACGCGTGAGAGAGGTAGAGAGGCAGCAAAAAGTTGGCGGAGTAACAACAATTCGCAAGCGAACGGCAGAAGCAGCAGTGCCAGCAGAAGGAACATAACGGAGCTCTGTAAGATGGGCGTTAAGAAGCATATCAGCGAAACTCCATGTGAGTAAACCATATTTATCTAAGCAAAGAAACAAAAACAAAGCAAAATATATATATTCCGGCGCGAATCGTTTCGGCATTTTAATTTACCAAGCAGCCATAAATTTAAATGTTTGCAAATACGCAAAAGATGCGAAACAAAGAAAGCAAAATATTAATGAGGATCGGTGAATGTTACGAACTGGGGAATACTCTAAAATATTGAAAGTTATTAAAAAGCTTCACAATATAAGTATATTACAATTTTAATGTTTTGCCTTTCTATAAGCAAATAAATATTAAACAGCACTGACTTTGCTTTATAGAATTCTTTAGTTGATTTATTGTTTTGGAATCCAATCATAAGTAATTATTACTCTCCAGATGAAGGGGAAAAAATGAATAAAATATTTAAACAAAAATAATCAGATGGCTGATGGCTGAACGACGCTGGCAGCGTCGACTGAGTGCCGTGGCCGTTCATTCAAGGTCGCCCTCTTTCTCGAGCGGATTTTTGGTGCTGTTGCATCACACACCTCACCTCACTTGACTTCACACAGATAAACGCTCAGCTGGTCGACCGCTGCGCACGCTCACTGACTCTGTTCCGCCCCCTCCGCTATATAGCCCCTCTGCCACCTGGGAGCCACCTGATCCAAGTTCGTGTGTTGACACTCACGAATATCGGGCACAAAGCGGGCCATGAAAAATTGGGTCGACATAAGTGAATTTTGTTTTAATTTATTTTATACCGTGTCTCCGTTGCTTCACCTTAGTCTCTATATTTTTGTCAGTTTGTTTTGTGCATTTGCCAACTATTGTTGCTAATCGTCTGCCTACCTCTCTCCTTTGGCGATATTTCTATCTTATAAAGAGTATTTGTAGGTTTTTTCAGAGTGTATTTATGTGTATCTCTCGCAAAGTATCTCATGGATGGTATCCTATGTTATCTTTCAGTAAGCAAATCGAACTCGGTGGATTTATACAGACCGCCAGCCTTGAGAAACAACATTAGCAATAACAACAACAACAGTAGCAGCGAGGAAGCAGCTGCAGCAAACGAAGCAATAACAACATCGTCAGCTGCAGGAACAGCAACCACTGCATCTACAACTCCTACCTCTAAAGGATCCCCGAACAGGTATGTACAATACAGTGACAATATGATTAAACAAACGAAAACCTTACTTTCTTAACAATTTATTAATAATTTTAAAGATATATGTATATTTAGGTATTTATAGTTTCTCATTTCAAAGCCCGTATTCTACCTACAGTGGTTTTAAGACAAGCTCTACTGTATCTTTTTCAGAAACTGACGAAATTCTATCATGAGCTAATCTTTTACCTTGTTTCTTTCTCTTTCCTTTATTGTTGCCTGTGTTTTGCTCAACTGTTTCGTAGAGAGCAACAGGCGGACTTCTCTGCAGCGGCCGCGGCAGCAGCAGCAGCGGCAGCGACCCGTCGCGAACGCCGTCCCGATCGCGCGGTTTATGTGCCAAGGGCACGACGCAGTCAAACTACACCACCGACTACCACAACAGCTACAACAGTAACAGCAGCAGCACCAGCGGCAGCAGCAACTATTACGGCTGCGGAATCATCGCCAGTTGCAGATACAAACTCGAGCAAAGCGGACGACGCCAACGGTCAGCTATTTTCGAGCAAAACGAAAAAAACAAAATCGCATCGTGAGCGCAGAGAACGCGCAAAGAAATCCACGGCTTTATCTGCATCTATAACCACGGATAACGCCACTGTACTCGTTATAGCGGGAACTGAAAACGATACTCAATCCATCGAAGATAACCGACCGGCCAAGCCAGCGGACTGTGATAAGGAGGTGCGTATACAAACTGGTCCAAGTGCACTTTAAATATCAGGAAGTTTTTTTTCGTGTGCAGTTAAAATTCATTATTCTACAAAATATATGTACAAAAATGTTTCAAGAAGTTACCCTTTGTTAATATAATAGTTATAATTCATAGTTGAATTTCCCACAGATCATGAGCGGCGCACAGCGTACAAAGCCAGGTCATGGTAACAAATCAGCCAGCAATGGCAAGACTCAGCCATTACGCATCGAAGATGTGGCGTCGGCCAGGACCACCAATAGCGAGGAGGCGGCCAAATGTGATAACGATGTGCGCGAACTGCAGCGAGCCTCAAAGGTGAGTTATAACCCTATAGAATGCAAGAATGAAATTACCTATTTACTATTACAGGAAATCAATCGCAGCAATCGTCGCATCATGAAACAAACCTTTAACTCGGATGTCTTGGAAATTCCCGAAAAAATCGAGACGCCGGCACCAAAGGCAATACAATCTCCTCGACCATCAGCAACATCAAAACCACCTGCAGAAAGCACCACCGAAGACGATGACGAAGAGGACGAGGACGACTGGGAGAATATGTTCGACGAGAGCGGCGACTGTCTGGATCCAAAGATTCTTCAGGAACTGAGCGAGTCCGTGGGCAAGTGCAAAATAGAGCTGCCCAAAATGGACTACACAGTAAGTAGAGAGGACTACTTGTTTTGAAGACTACTAAATACTTTATTATTATCCACCAAGGTCTTTCACATCAAACAACAACTGCTTAACGAAGAGGAGTTTCCTCATGTTCTGGAGGTGTCAAATTTCCCAGTGGAGTTTAAAACTCCCGACCTGCTTATGCTTTTCGCCCAGTACAAAGGTAGTGGCTTCGACATTAAGTGGGTGGACGATACCCATGCCCTGGCTGTGTTCAGCAGTTCCCGCATTGGTGAGTGGCAAAGATTTTAATCATATACTGGACTGTAAAATAAACTTTTGAAAATCATTACAAAAATGATACAGAATGTTTGTTTAGGTCGTTAGCTACCAAAACAGACTTTCTCAAAAAGTGATTTTTTTGAGATTTCAGTATCAATATAGCAGTATTTTGTCTATAACAAAGCCAAAAATGGTCGGACAATGGAATGTCATACGTCGTTAGGCTTGTATTTCAATCTATTTTCAAAATATCCAAGTGCCATTGAAATCTGAAGAAAAAAATATTTTTTCAAATTTTCGAGAAAATGATGATGGTACCCCTTACAAAAAAGTGAAATTTGACAAAAATTTTAATTTCCGAAAATCATTCCATACCCACATAAGAAGTTTGCTTGGGTCGTAAGCTGCACAAAACACTCTTTCTTTTGGTTTTACGATTTCTTTTGACAAAGTTATAAGCATAACACTAGGGAAAAATATCGTCAATTTTACTCAAAAGTCATAATTTTGATTTTAGGGCCAAACAATCAGTATTATCCTCATTACCAAGCCAAAACTGATCGCAACATAGAATGTTATACCTCGTTCAGTTCGTATTTAAATTCCCCGTCGAACTGTGTATCACACTCAAAAAGTAAATTTTTTGAGATTTTTGTTCATTTTTATAATGCAAAAAAAAAAGTAAAAACCGGTCCGTCCCGATTTGAGGCTCGAAATATCAGTATTTTGTGTCTATAACAAAGCCAAAAATGGTCGGACAATGGAATGTCCTACGTCGTTAGGCTTGTATTTCAATCTATTTTCAAAATATCCAAGTGCCATTGAAATCTGAAGAAAAAAATATTTTTTCAAATTTTCGAGAAAATGATGATGGTACCCCTTACAAAAAAGTGAAATTTGACAAAAAATGTAACTTCCGAAAATCATCGCCACAACCACATAGAAAGGTTGTTGGAGTCGTTAGCTGCACAAAACAATCCTCTTCATAGCTGTGCGTCTCATTTTGGCAGAGATATAAGTATAATACTGGGTAAAATATCGCAAATTTTACTCAAAAGTCACAGTTTTGATTTTAAGGCCAAACAATCAGTATTATCCTCATTACCAAGCCAAAACTGATCGCAACATAGAATGTTATACCTCGTTCAGTTCGTATTTAAATTCCCCGTCGAACTGTGTACCACACTCAAAAAGTAAATTTTTTGAGATTTTTGTTCATTTTTATAATGCAAAAAAAAAGTAAAAACCGGTCCGTCCCGATTTGAGGCTCGAAATATCAGTATTTTGTGTCTATAACAAAGCCAAAAATGGTCGGACAATGGAATGTCATACGTCGTTAGGCTTGTATTTCAATCTATTTTCAAAATATCCAAGTTCCATTGAAATCTGAAGAAAAAAATATTTTTTCAAATTTTCGAGAAAATGAAAAAAAAAGTGAAATTTGACAAAAAATGTAACTTCCGAAAATCATCGCCACAACCACATAGAAAGGTTGTTGGGGTCGTTAGCTGCACAAAACAATCCTCTTCATAGCTGTGCGTCTCATTTTGGCAGAGCTATAAGCATAATACTGGGTAAAATATCGCGAATTTTACTTCAAAAGTCACAATTTTGATTTTAAGGCCAAACAATCAGTATTATCCTCATTACCAAGCCAAAACTGATCGCAACATAGAATGTTATACCTCGTTCAGTTCGTATTTAAATTCCCCGTCGAACTGTGTATCACACTCAAAAAGTACATTTTTTGAGATTTTTGTTCATTTTTATAATGCAAAAAAAAAGTAAAAACCGATCCGTCCCGATTTGAGGCTCGAAATATCAGTATTTTGTCTATAACAAAGCCAAAAATGGTCGGAATATGGAATGCCATACGTCGTTAGGCTTGTATTTCAATCTATTTTCAAAATATTTAAATGTCAGTAAAATCTGAGGAAAAAATAATTTTTCGATTTTTCGAAAAAATGATGATGGTACCCCTTACAAAAAAGTGAAATTTGACAAAAATTTTAATTTCCGAAAATCATCGCCACAACCACATAGAAAGTTTGCTTGGGTCGTTAGCTGCACAAAAAAATCCTCATTATAGCTGTGCGTCTTATTTTGACAGAGATATAAGCATAATTCTGCTAAAAATATCGTGAATTTTACTCAGGAGTCAAAATTTGGATGTTATCCTTAATATATCAGTGTATTTCCCACAACATCGCCAAAAATCGTCGCAATAAGGAGTGTCGTACCTCGTTGAGTTCGTAATAAAATTCCCCGTCAAACTGTGTACCAGGCTCAAAAAGTGTTTTTTTTCATTTTTCGCAAATTTTTATGATTCGAAAAAAATGCGAAAATCGGTCTGTCCCGATTTGTGGCCCAAAAAATCAGTATTTTGTTGAAAGTCAGTCCGTAATAAAATTCAATGTTTTTCCCGTAGCTGCTGAGGTGTTGACGATGGGACATCCGTTTGTCAAGTTGAAGCCACTTGCGGAGGCCACTCTCGAATCACGACTGAAGGCGAAGAAGGCCGGTGCCGTGTCGCTGCAACCGTATCGTCAGCGTCCAGAAACATGCACGGCCTTGGCCCGACGACTGGTATCCGGCGCATTGGGGGTCAAATTACCCACGGCGCCACAGGAACGGGAGAACGAGAGGCGGGTGCTACGTGAAGCCAAAGGTACGTACAAGTTTCCGATTGCCTGATAGTCTTAAAACTGTGTTTAGGATTTGGCCACGATTACTAATTACTTTTAAATTTCTTACAGAACGTAAACTGTTAGCTGCCAAACAGCGGGACGAAGTCTGGGAGAGCTAGACCACGACCCCGGAAGAAGGCAAGGTGCATTTTTCTCACCCCATCAACAATAAGTGCGTCAACAACCACAACATGAAGATCAACAACAACAAACACTACCACTACAACCCATTGAAGCTCACAACAACAAATTTCTCAATCAATGCTAGCAAAATAATGGGTAATTTGCATGCTAAGCAATGTACTTTAAATGTTCGCTTTTTGTGCAACTAACACAGATTTTTGCTCAATTTGTTGTAGTTTTTAGAGGATGCATGATAGTGATGTAATGCATATTATATCATCTAGGCCGTAAGAGAGAAATATCTATATTTATTGGTCGTAGCAAGTAAACATGCATAGATTACATATGTACGTGTTGTTTTAACTCCAGGCGTAAACCTTAATTTTTAAGAGCAAGCAATTTATATATTGATATATATATTTTAATAAAGTTTATAGCGTAAGTAAAACAAACGAAATAAAAATGTTTTTAAGTTTAAAAAAAGTGGGATATATGGTGAAAGCAGTTTTGATTTTAACTAAACATTCTAATGAAAATCGAAAAGATGATATGGATAATGTTAATTGTATAGATTGGAAATAAGCCCCACGGTATAACAATTGCCAAGAATTTTAAAAGTTGGTTTGAAAAATAAAACATGTTGGCAACGCTTGATATTCTTAAGCAGTGTGACCTCAGAAGCAAGTCGGTATTTCAGCATGCGACTGTCACACTAACGCCGGTAGAGCAATTTGTTATTAAAACAAAAAGAGTTAATTTTAGCGCTTAAAAGGTAACAGCTGGTGTTTTGTGTGTGTTCAATGCAATTTAAATTGTATTGTTTTACAACTAAAAATAAATAATACATGGAAAGCTAGTCAATCGCATAGGCGTTGACATTCAATTTCTTTCTTTGGCATTTATTTATTAAGGAGTTACAGGCTGACAACTATTAAATATACAACCAGTGAACAAAATTGATAAGCTTATCTTTACGGAAGCGCAGCAACAATAAGCATATCATATTCTACCAAAATCAATCGCTGTTCTGGCAATTGAAATAGAAACTTTTTTGTCTGCGTGGCTTCAAGTTGTGGGCGTGTTTCAACTTTTCGGGTATGTGTATACAGTGGACACCGGATTAAATGGACTGGATAAGGATTAACTGGGCATGGAAGAGTTCCCTTAGGAATCACACTATATTAGATAATTGTATTTTGTTATAATGTGATGTCTTGACAGAGGGAAAACTAAAAGAGCAAAATGATCATAACTTAGCTCAGAATGTAAAGAGTTTATATAGTAAATATTTATTATGTTCTGTTGTGTTCCACTGTAAGTAACTATAATAATATTAATACAAAATCGAAGGGGCGTACCAAATTGTACAAGTTGCGTGTCATAAACACCGTATAAACCGAATCTAATTGGAATACATGTATATACATACGTGGATCTCGTTTCAGCCTAGTCATGAACAAGTACTTATCTGTTCTACTGCTATCCGTGGCAATTGTCGGAGCTGCTAAACCCGCAGAAGATAATGAATCGTGCTACTCCTTTGCCGGCGGCTCTGTTTATCCCGACCAGCCCAAGGGCGACCATCAGCTGCAATACACCAAGGCAGTCAGTGAGTTTCATATAATATACAACCTGGAATCATAATTAACAATTTATTACCATCATTTCGACAGTTTCCAAGCCAGCTCCACAGTTCGAGGGAACAGCAGTGGTTAATAAGGAGATTGTGAAGCTATCGCTATCCCAATACCTGGGAAAGTATGTGGTGCTACTCTTCTACCCACTTGACTTGTAAGAATATAGAGTGATTGATTATGGACACTTGGTGTTACAGAAGAGCCTCACACTACGCATTCCTATTTCAGCACCTTTGTCTGCCCTACGGAAATCATAGCCTTCTCCGATCGCATCGCCGAATTCAAGAAAATCAAGACTGAAGTGATCGGCGTCAGCGTGGACTCACATTTCACCCACTTGGCCTGGATCAACACGCCACGCAAGGAGGGCGGCCTGGGCGACGTCAAGATCCCGCTGCTGTCTGATCTCACTCACAAAATCAGCAAGGATTACGGAGTCTATCTGGAGTCTAGCGGTCATGCCCTGCGTGGTCTCTTCATAATCGATCAAACCGGAGTGCTGCGACAGATCACCATGAACGATCTGCCGGTAGGAAGATCTGTGGATGAGACTATTCGCCTGGTGCAGGCATTCCAGTACACGGATACCCATGGAGAGGTTTGCCCAGCAGGCTGGAGGCCAGGTGCAGATACGGTAGGTTATGATGAATCTTCGACTGATAAATTTGAAATATTTCGAAATTCTGTATAACCTTAACTAAGAGATACGAAAGTTTTGTTTATAAAATATCTTTTCTAAAACATTGCTAGATTGTTCCTAACCCTGAGGAGAAAACCAAGTACTTTGCCAAGAATAACTAAGGATGCACATCACATTATCAGCCTAACCCAGTTACATTCCAAATGTTCACGACTGAATCACGACTAAATCGAACAATAGGCCCCGTCGCTTGAGTCCTCTGTACAAAAGTCTACAATGCCACCGATTGCAAATGGTTCGCATTTGTTTTGTATAAAATATAGTTTCTTTATTTTACAGCATAACTGAAAGATAAATAAATTGATGAAGTACATGTTTAAGTGATGTAAATTGCGTGGCCCCACAGGAGCACGACCAAAAGATAGAGATCGCGGTGTGATCTCGAAATGCCTTGAAAGCTGCCTTATGTGGCCACAATAATGTTTAACAATTCGATTGCGATTAGTTTCATACAAAAATATATGTATTAAGTAATAGGTAATAGTAAATTAGTTAGGTACGCCATGGTTGCAGTTAAGTAATCCTGTGCTCCGACCTTAGGGTACAACAAAGCTAAGTATGTCGAGGTATATAAATTGGGGAAACGGGGCGGGGCGACGACAATAACAACTAGGACGTCATAAGGCACTCGTTCTCGTTTGTATTTTTTTTCCTGTGTAGTCTGTTTTTAGTTGTGTGTTGTCAGTGTGTGTGTATGTGCTAAATTGTTGTGCGTTTTAAATGCCAAAAACCCAGGCTCATAAAAAACGAAGATGCAACTGCAGTTCTGATCAAAATTGTGCGGGGAGATTCCTTTGTTGGGGAGATTCCAAGTCGATCAAAGCGTTGCACTGTTTACATTCCCGGAAACGGTCATTAAATAAAGGGTTAAAAAATTCTTAAAGCTATGACGATGCAACACGTCGAACCAAAAAGCAGTCGGCGATAATAATGTCTGGGTGTTTGTTCATTTATAATTCGATCAATAGGCAGCTTACTGCTCGTAGTAGACCACGTCCTGGAATAAAAAGAAAATTATTAATTATACACATTTTCTATATAATATATTAAGTTATTTAAAATGGGATATATTCATGCTAGCACAGCAATTTGATGAAAATATATGTATAAAAATTTTTTAGTAGATAGTATAGATACAGAAAACAACAAACATAAACTTTTTTATATTTATAGATACCCACTATATACCATTTTGAAATGATCGAGTGATATTTTTTAATATACTCACAATTAAAAAGAGCGCTGCGAATACAAGTGCTTTCATGCGAACATCCAGATTCAGAGGGAAGGTGACGCTGAAGTAATCCGCATCGGTGAACAGCTCCCTTCCCAGTCCAGACCATTGTTTGCTTATTTTGCCGATCTCCTCATTATTGGCGCTCAATACCTGCAAAAGGAGAGATATGTTTGTGTTTCGCATTAATCGGGACGGAATTCGCTACACACACAGAATTCGCAGTATCGCAATTAATTGACTCGCTCTGGACAGTCAAGCATAGCGACCCATGACGTCATTGTCTCGGACTGCAGTCTCTGTAGCTTTATATGTACCATACAGTTACGGTCAGTAAAATATCTCCTAAACTTAAACGCAATAAATTGGGAATTCTATTTTGGTATCGTTTTCGGATCATCTAAGCATAATTTATCGTGAGTGCTATTAATCTTGCCGACCTTGTAGCTTTATAGTATGATCTTATATTTGTTTGAATGAGGAATTAACCATATCCACTCAACCAATTATAAAGTATTTTCAATAATTAAAAAGCAATTAAATTTAGCGCCAAAACCATTTCATAAAATCTTTGCTTCGACTAATGGATTGTGTGACTGAAGTCATCATACGTTCCCTCAACTAAGTTCCTATCCTGCTGCCCGCAACTGTGTTTGCATAGACTTGTTTGAATACAGGAATCAGAAATCGAGACACATGAATAACCACTTGTTGGCCTTAACTGACCTTGAAGTTGGTATCGCTGAAGCACTTGCAGGGGCATACGGGTCCCTCGATCTGCAGGACGGTGTCGCCAAATGTGTTCTTGATGTTGAACTTGGGTCGGAGGAAGGTGCAGACCTGCTCCACGGTTCCGATCACCTGGCCCGGTGGAGCCGACACCTCCACGGCATTCATGCAGCTGGGGAAGCAGCAAAGGACATCACATTTGAATGGCCGATATAAGTGGAGCACCTCGTTCTGGAAATTATCCACGATCTTCATTTCGAAGGGACGTGACCGGCCTAACATGTTTCGGGTACAGCAGTCGCTCTCCTCGTAAGCGAAGTACACGTTCTGCCCCAGCGAGTTCTTCACCTTGAAGCGATTCTTCGTCTCGAAGCCGGTGATCAGCTCCAGTTTCTCGATCTTTTGCGATACGAGCAGTTGGTCCAGGGCAGTCAAGTATTCAAGGCCCTGCGGGCAGTTCGGCATACCCACGGGTATCGACATCCAGTTCTCTGCAACGGGGCGTAGTTTCGATTAGCTCTATATATATTCTTTACTATATGAACCTATGTGTCAGGTCAACGTATTTAATATCTCAGAAAGTTTAAACTGTCGGTTATTTATTATTAAATTTTAATAAATATAGTATTATAAAAAATGTAAGTTATTTATTAAAAAAATTATTTTTATTATTTTTGCAATTGTCAATAGTTAGTCATGATGCTTTTATTTTTACACTATTATTACACTGTTATTAGTCATTTGGAGTATTACTTAGATCAGTGATAAAAATTTATAATTTGTAACTAAAACCAACAGTTATTTTTGGAAAATATCAAATTCACAAAGATTTATCTGATTTATTGGTTACTAATATTCATTAAAATAAGACTTGAGTGCTAAATTTCTGATCAATGCTGTCCGAAGTGCCAAGAAAAAGGGGAATGATATTCCGCCTTTTTGCACACGCCCACCCACAACACCCATCTGTGTGATGGAATTTAACAGTGGGACTAATCCATATATATCTACGCACCAGCTCCATTGGCGCTATTTCCAGGGTTCACCGCCTGCGGTTGGCGAACTACGCTGTCGTCCTGGGGCGCATTCTGGGGCACCACCTTATACTCGCTCATCTGCATCATCTTTTTTAAACAATTAAATTCCGGATCGGATTCTGGAACAGCGCACAAAACACTAAATGTAGTGACCGTGTCATGAACGCTGAAAAATAATGTTGCTATGCACCCTGCGAAAAATACTCGTTTCTTTTAAGTTTCAGTATTTTTTCAGATATTGAAAAAAATGTTTATTTGAAAATCTTTAAGATCTTTAAGATCTTTAAAGAAAACACTTAAATTAAACAAGTAAACAATGGAATACCGCCAAGATATATTGTTTTCAATTAAATAGTTTTTTCCACAAAAGCTTGTGTACAATTGGTATTTTTTATATAAGCTTAGGCTTCAGTGCCATTTGGTATACTCCGCCTTTTCCCCACGGTCACACTGCTGTCATGATTTTGATAAGGGAGCCATAAAAACTTGGGAATAATTTCGCTAAAACATGCTGCTTGGCAGCCGAATCTCCAGTCGAAATGAGCGAATCTCTTGATAAGACCACCAGTCCGAGCTCGGCCAGTTCCAGGGCCACGCCCTTAAGGGCGGAGGACCCAGATGGGATCCACGATGTAAGTGACACCTTCTACACGAGCCAGCGTAAGAAGGGAAGCCACGTATTTCGGGTCCGTCTGGATGCCACAGGATTCACTCTGCAGCGGGAATCCCCGGGCGGCAGTATTGTCAAGGAACAGCAGGTGCGCATCGGAGATATAGTGGGTGCCCGCTGTATGCGTCCTAAGAAAAGTCGACGTTTGGCGATGTCAGGAGCCTGTGCCTGCAGCTCCGGAAATCCGAATTCGCCGGCTATCTCGGCTTCTGGGGATCATCATCGCACTGCCACCACTCCGAGCAAATGTAGCACCAATAGCCGGGAGAATATTCCACAGGATGGAGGCGATGTCAGCGCATTTCTCTATGTCTTCGCATATGTCCTTAAGAAGAGAAGCCTACGAACGGAGCTTCACAGAGAGCGAACCGTGCTTACACTTCGGTTTAGATCCTTCGACACCTTTGAAGACAACATGAGGGAAGCAGATCGATGGTATAGATCCCTTCGCTGGCAGTTGAATCGGACGCTAGAGGAGATTTTCGTTGCACCGACAACGGATGACCGACGTCGCCGAGTTTTGGTTTTGCTGAATCCGAAATCCGGTTCTGGAGATGCTCGAGAGGTCTTCAATATGCATGTGACGCCGGTACTCAACGAGGCTGAAGTTCCCTATGACTTGTATGTCACCAAACATTCCAACTTTGCCATTGAATTCTTGAGCACAAGGTGCCTGGATGCCTGGTGCTGCGTGGTGGCCGTCGGCGGTGATGGCCTGTTTCACGAGATAGTCAATGGTCTACTGCAGCGGCAGGATTGGGCCCATGTATTGCCTCATCTGGCACTGGGGATCATTCCATGCGGTTCCGGAAACGGATTGGCCAGGTCTATAGCCCATTGTTACAAGTAAGTACCTGTCTATAACTTCTAGCTTTTAACTTCTATTTGGCCATTCACTTTTCTGAAAAGTTTCATATCTTTATCTTTGAGAGTGGGGTTTACCCCTTAATGTTAATGTGACGTCAAAGTCGGTAACAAAAAGTCCCCAATCTTATTCATATCAACATAATCTTAAAATTATGGCCCTAATTTTTGTCACCTTTTAATGATGTTTCGCCTTAATTAGTAATCTTAACGTGTATTGCCATAATTTCCGTTTGCTTTTTGATCATTAATAGGAAAAACAATTACTTTACGAGTGGTTATACTTTTCATGATTATATGTATTACCAATTCAAACTGGTCTTTCTAGTATCTATTGGCTTATATTGAACATTAATAACCGACAATCTTTCTCACGCAGTGAACCCTACTTCAGCAAGCCAGTGCTAGGAGCTGCATTGACCGTAATCAGCGGACGCAGTTCACCGATGGACGTGATCCGTGTGCAGCTTCAAAATCGCTCCCTATACTCTTTCCTGTCCATTGGCTGGGGTCTGATCTCGGATGTGGACATTGAGAGCGAACGAATCCGGCTGCTTGGATACCAACGTTTTACCATTTGGACTCTGTACCGTCTGGTGAATTTGCGTACCTATAATGGCCGGGTTAGCTATCTTCTAAGGGAGGAACAAGGTTCCACGGCTCAGAGTCATTCTGGTTATCCTGCACAGCGCAGGATGCAGATCAGTCAGAGCTGCAATACGCACATTGACATGCTGAATGGGCCTGCGCCCAGCTATCATTCCAGTGCTGAGTACCTGCCGCAGGAGTTTGCGGACGTGATTTCCCTGGAGACGTCCATCAATCAGTCGTTTCGCTCAAGGTGCGACAGCTGGCTGTCTGGAGGATCGCGACGCAGTTTCTACTATTCCATATCGGAGAGCATCTACCACAGTCTGGCAGATGAGAGCGAGTTTACTGGCCTGGCAGCCGCTTCGCTGGAGAATAGGCAGCAGAATTACGGACCAGCGAGCGAACTGCCAGATCTCAACGAACCCCTGCCCGAAGATGAGGGCTGGCTGGTCGAGGAGGGCGAATTCATCATGATGCACGCTGTATATCAAACACATCTGGGCATCGACTGCCATTTTGCACCGAAGGCCCAGTTAAACGACGGCACCATCTATTTAATTCTCATACGCGGCGGCATCAGTCGGCCGCACCTTTTGAGCTTCCTCTACAACATGAGCTCCGGTACGCACCTGCCAGAAGTAAACAACGAATATGTAAAGGTGCTGCCGGTTCGAGCTTTCCGCCTGGAGCCACACGACAATCACGGCATCATTACGGTCGACGGGGAGAGAGTCGAGTTTGGGCCACTCCAAGCAGAGGTATTGCCGGGCATAGCCCGCGTTATGGTACCCAAGTAGGAGGAGGACGATCAGAACCACTTCCCTAGAGGCTGGAGCTTACTAAAGACCATCAAGCAATAGAAATCTCAATTTAGGAATCTCTGCATTTGTAGCTAATACTTAGGGGCCCATTGGCCACGATGAGAGAGTTGTGCATTCTTATAATATTGTGTTTTTTTTTGGCTTGCTTCTGCCAACAAAGTATTGTTAACATTTTTTAAGATAATTGCAGCTATTAACGAAATATAATCATGTATATAAGGCAGGAGCCAGATGATGTACTTGTGAACCATACTTTTTTTTTTTTATTTCGGCTGTTTGGAATAGTAAAAAAGTCCTTATTTATATAATTATTATTTCAAAAATGTGTCAGATTGAAAGAATTATTTATTATTATTATTATATTATTATTTTTAAATTTTTAACTTCTAGAAACTTGAATATTATTTCCATGTTACATTATTATTCAGTGAATAAAATTTTTGAGCTTAATAATGTTTTTGTATTTATTTTTAAAAAGGTTAAAATAGAAAACACAGAGATAACATACTTATAAATATGAATGAAATAGGAGTTTTAGTGACAATTTTAATATTAATGGCATTTCTCTCTTCTTCATCAATCCATTAGAACCTTTTGAAATTGTAGATTTTAGTACATATTGAGGTCATTCTTTAAGTTTAAATTCAAGCTTAACGGTCATTTGAAATAACGGTTGTTATTCAGTATTTTATACATATAGGTTTAATTAAGAATTGTTCAATTATATTCATCCGGTCACACTGGACAGAAAAAGAAAAAACAAGTCCGTTCCGTTTGTAGAAAAAAAATATTTCGCAGAAAAAATAAACAGCTCTGCTTCCATTTGACATAGTGTCAGCACATTCCGATCGAAATCCGAAACTCTCTAGGTCATAATCGCACAGTATTTCCCATTATAAAGCAATTAAAGCTCTGCAATATGTCGTCTGAGGAGCTGGCGCCAATTAACGAACAGGACCTCAAGGATCTGAAGGAGCGCATGAAATTGATTGTGGAAGCGGATCCAAAGCAATACCATAACGACTTTTCACTGCGGCGCTATCTGCGCGCCTTTAAGACCACAGATGACGCATTTCAGGTGAGCCATTTGTCAATAAACACCAAAAATGTTACCATCTAAAATGCTTCAGAACCGAAGCTTAGAATACCATTTTGACAAGTCTTAAAACTATTTCAACAACAATTGTGGGCTAATATTGATCTGACTTCGACGTTCACTTTTTTAGTATTAAGAACAAAAATCCATTGGATATTATTATTTGGATCGTAGACACTTTTTAATTGACTAATATATACAAATTTTTTCGTTCAACGCAGGCGATTTTGAAGACCAACAAGTGGCGCGAAACATATGGAGTGGAGAAGCTGGCAGAAATGGACCGCAGCCAGCTGGACAAGAAAGCCCGCCTATTGCGCCACCGCGACTGTGTCGGTCGTCCAGTGATCTACATTCCGGCCAAGAACCACAGCTCTGAGCGGGATATCGATGAGCTGACGCGCTTCATAGTTTACAATTTGGAGGAGGCTTGCAAGAAATGTTTTGAGGAGGTCACCGACCGCCTGTGCATTGTCTTTGATCTGGCTGAGTTCAGCACTAGTTGCATGGACTACCAGCTGGTGCAGAATCTCATTTGGCTGTTGGGCAAGCACTTTCCGGAGCGTCTGGGCGTCTGTCTGATTATAAATTCGCCGGGGTTGTTCTCCACCATTTGGCCGGCCATTCGGGTTCTGTTGGACGACAATACCGCTAAAAAGGTAAAGTTTGTGGGGGATGAGGTGGAGCTGTGCCAGTACCTTATCCCGGACATCCTGCCAACGGACATGTAAGGCTTCCGACTCGGGCGCCTCAGCATCTAATGGAGCTTCTGTTAGGCGTAGACATATCTCCAAAGAGAACCGTAACCAGTACCTAAGTTTGCAAGGAGGCTTCTGAGAGCTTTTATCCAGTACAGTACTCTATCTGTAAATCGATGTGTTTAACAAGTTGATTGTAAAATGTATTTTATTGGACACAACTATTAGTACAGTGCTAACTATTTTAGATAAACGTTTATCTTGTATGTGTAGTATCTATATACCTGAATTCGTACCTATATATACATATATTATATATGCAAGTGTCTATGTGTACAGCAAATAAAGTTGTAAAAGAAAAGTCGTTAAGATTAAAGGGCACTCGTAAATAATTGGTTTTGTTGGACGAGTCGATAGTGCTCTAATTTTAGCGAACTTATCACCTGCCAGTGATAAGAATCATAATCCTAAATGAGCAGTATCGTTAGTTCTTATCAAATGATTGTTATGGTTTCCTTGATTTAAAATTTGCGCCGATTAGGGTTGTCGCTTCATTGAAAATAAATTTTGGGATTTACTGCGTTAGGCAACACTGTCATAACTCCTTATATTAATATTACTTATTAAGCTACATAGAATAATAAATATAAATTTAAAATAAAATAATTTTAAAAAAATCGAAGTATAATTAAATAAACTTCATTTTGGTTTGTTTGTTGTATTATTATACTTAAAATCTTAATCATTACCTTTATTGAACAAACTTAAAGAAATATTTTTACCAGTTTTGAAATTTAGCCTTTTATATTCTAGCTATTTTCAAGCTATTCCGTATTGCAGCCACTTAAAGCTGATGACAACTCTAGACTGGACTGGTTATCATCATCTGGAGTCGAAACAAAAACAAAAGTCGAGCACTTGATAAGGAAATCTGAATCGCGCACTATGAGACCTCGCCGAAACACTAACAATAGCAATAACAGTAGCGAAATGGATAAGTCTGTTCGCCAGTTCGGAGTAACAGCGTCAAAAAGCCAGTGATTGTCGAAGCGTGCGCCGCGAAACATGTCGGCGCCCTTAAAAGAAGCTAGAAAAACAACAGAAGCTTCTCAGGATGTGGGGTCTCCAGGGGATTCTAGATCAGGATCACCTGCTTTTATTGTCGCTCTAGATGTGGGCACCACCTGTGTACGGAGTTTCGTTTTGGACCAACAATGTGTAGTCCGGGGATCGGCGGTGGATGCCGTAAGTGATTCGATCTTCAAGTGACCCTCGGGGGCAAAGTTAATTAAGCAGAAACCTTTACGACCTTTGGTGCAATTAGGTAGAGCTACTGAACCCACAGCCGGGCTATTTCGAAATCGAACCGGAGATTTTATGGCACAAAATTGTGAATGTTATTACACAGGCGGTGAAGGGTGAGTATCGGGTCTCATGAAACCCCTAACAAGTTTAATAAGACGTTTAATATAATACAAAAGGCTTATTTGATTCAAAGAATATAATATGATTAAACTGAAACGGTATGATGAATTTTTTTTAAATAATGTAATGTTTAATGTAATGTTAATGTTTAATGTTTAAGTAATGTATTTTTTGAATCGTTCCCAATTAATCCCATTTTAGATGCCAATTTAACGCCCTCGGATCTCACCTGCCTGACTATCTCGACACAGCGCTGCACCTTCCTCACCTGGGATCATCGAAGTGGCGAATATTACCACAATTTTATCACCTGGAAGGACCTTCGCGCCGATGAGCTGGTGGAACAATGGAATAGCAGTTGGACGAAGAGCTCCATGAATTGGTTCTCATACTCTTTGTTCCTGCTCACCCGTCAATCCCGATTCCTCGCAGGAAGCGTCCTTAAACTGATGAATGGACAAGTCACGCCGAGGCTGCTCTTCGAGATAATGCACAACAAGAAATTAAAGCAGGCTCTGATGCAGAAAAAGGCACGCGTGGAGCTTCTGGACTCCTGGATCCTGCATAAGCTGAGGACAGGAAACAGCCTGGATAAGGATGTGGAGCACATAACCGATGTTACCTCGAGTACAGCGACAGGATTGTACGATCCCTTCACACTCAGCTGGTCGCCGCTCATAAGTTGGCTCTTTGGCATAAATGTGAGTGGAATATTTCCTCTTAAAAACTAGATTTTTAAATATATAAGAATTGATTACAGTCAAAAATACTGCCGCGTGTGGTAGACAACGGCTACAAGGGCTTCGGGCATGTGCATCCTACTGCTTTGGGTCCGGATTGGGAAAAGACACATATTCCTATCGCTGCCTCTTTAAGTGACCAAACTGCAGCTATGTGGGGCTCTCAGTGTTTTAAGAAGAACGACGTCAAGGTCACTATGGGCACTGGAGCTTTCTTAAACTTGGTCACAGGTGACCGTTGTCATGCAGCCATTTCTGGAATGTATCCCTTGGTGGCTTGGCAGATCAAAAGACAAGCCAGAAATCAAGGAGCAATATATTGCATCGAGGGAGCATCCCATGACTTTGGCACAGTGGTAACATGGGCACAATCATGCGAACTCTTTGAAAATCCTGCGGATACTGCGGACATTGCAGAGTCAGTTCCAGACACCAATGATGTTTTCTTCATGCCTGCATTCAGTGGCCTGGGGGTGTGTTTGTTCAATAGATTTTCTTGTTGTTTTGTTAGATTGGCTTATCCTCATCTTATCTTTGACAGCCCCCGGTGAACGATTATCGTTCAGCAAGTGGCTTCATTGGTCTTAGTCCGTCCACCACCAAGGCCCACATGGTGCGGGCCCTGCTAGAGAGTATAGTTTTTCGCGTAGTACAACTAATCGAGGCTGCCGAAAAGGAAACCTCCCAAAAGCTTTATATAATTAGGTAAGCATAAACCAATGTAATGGGGCGCACATATAACTTAGCAATCTGTGAAGAAAATGTAATTCGACTTTAGACTTAGTTATTTAGGTAAAGTTCAAATTTGTTACTTAGTTTATGATCAGCTCTTACTACCTATGAAAAATAGCTAAATTGGGCATAATTAGGTCAAATACGTTCTAATAAGAAACCTATACTTTTAGAGTGGATGGCGGCGTTTCTCGGAATGACTTTGTCTGCCAATTCCTGGCCGATATCAGCCGGTTGAGAGTGGAGCGAGCGGAGAACACTGAGAGTAGCATCATGGGGGCCACATTTATGGCAGGCATTAATCATGGTATCTGGTGTAACGAGGAGGATCTCAAATGTTTCCGGCAAGTGGAGCGTGTCTTTAAACCGCGGACCAAGGAGTACAACACTATAGCAAGCCGGATGGAGAAATGGAGACGGACCATTGCCCGGTTTAGCGACTGGTACTAGGTTTTCTACAAATTACAATTTACTTGTTTGGATTTGTTATACATACGTCAGTCATTAAATACTTCGCAGACTAGGTAGTGGTAAAAAAAACTTTTGAATGTTTTAATCTATGTAGTCATTTTGATCACTGCAGGATACAAATGCAGGATTATAATTATTATTAAGCTCCAGATGAAAACACGCATTTCATGTATGCTTTTATGTTTTAAGCTGTATCCGATTTAAATTTTATGTTTTCATTCCACCGCCGATAACCGATAACGATAAGATTAATATTGGTGGAAACGGCTAAAACTATATTTTCTTTTTATAAAATGTATCGCAATTTTCTAAGAACAACCTAAGGGCTTTCGTGATAATTATTCTTAATTATAAATTGAAATTACAAAATATAAATTACGATGAGGGCTAGCAGGCTATGACAAAATTGTAAGAAAGCCATCTACATCAATATATTATATTTCTTATTTTCAAAATTCACCACAAAGCAGGGAAAAAAATAGCACAATATGTTTAAAAAAGTAATAGCATTCATAAAGTACCTTTATAAAATGAGCAAACTTTTACACGAGAGCGAAAAGCAAAAAAGGGAGGACTGACTTGCCTTCAACATATTCCATTTTGGAAAAAATTATTTTATGGGTGTTCAATTTAAAAAATACAGTAAATTCATTATTAACTTTTTTACTTGTCTACTTTTTATTAGAAACAATTTCTATCGCTAACGATAACGATACCTAAATCAGGTGTGGTGACACTGATTTTGCAATCTAGCACGCTGCACGTTTGTTTTGATTTTGTTGGCGCAGAAGATTCTCTATATGGCAAAAACCAAGCGAAATGTAAGGGCCAAGGCCAAAAGTGTGGTTGGAGCGGCAAAGCAGAAAGCGCAGGATATTAAGACGAAGCTGCGCCAGGATCAGCTGCTCCACAAGACGCTCACTCCAAAAAAGACGTCGACCAAAAAGGAGAAATCTGAGGCGAAACACAAGAAGCTACTCAAACGCTTTGCTGAAACGCGAAAGGAACGCAAAGAGGAGCATGCACGCAAGAATCTAGAGAAGACCAAGGTCATTGGGGATCTTAAGCCACTACGGGATGCACTGCCATCGCTACAGGACATTTACAACCTGGTGAAAACTAAACAAAAGGATGCCACCGATCAGACAGTTCTTACAGAACCGGTAGTCCCTCTTAGTGCCAACGAAAAAATAAGGAAAAAACGCACGGATATGGTCAACCGAGTGAAATCCTTCGAAAAAATCATTAAAGACAAGAACTTTAAGAAGAATCCCCGAGAAGTCATAGCCTCTCACGTGCGCAACAAATATCAGGCTATGGAAGAGGACGACGAAGAATAGAAGTCATATTTAATAAATACCAAAATATTTGCATTTTTTATTTTTTACAAAATATGAACATGACACTGAAAATATGCCAGAAATGTAAAACCTGTTAGTGCCTTCAACTACCAAAAAATTGTTGGCGTAAATTTAAGAACTAACTTTAATATAGGCATTATTATTAAGAAAACAAATGAGTTTCATTAAAAGAAATTAATCAAGAAATGAAAAATATATCGTTTTCTTTAGCCGCAATATTAGATTGTTTGTTCTCCCAAAAAAAAGATTTATTTTATTTATTAAGAAGTATCTTTATTATATATGCATTAGGTATAGTTATCATTTAACGATGCATATAAATATTACATGTACGAATGTAAGGTGTAAGCATTTAATCGTAGAAGGGGCAACAGAATGAGAATTAGACAAGATAGACAAGAACGTGAGGACTTGAGTTTATTGGGTGTTTTTGCTACGGCCCGGGCTATGTGATCATAGAATTCTAGAGCTACATACATTATATCATAGAGCGTTTTATGTGTTTATGCGCCTGCTTAGAGTTCAAAATTCAACTTGGTGTTGTTCTTCTTACAGTGAAAACGGAGCCATGGACTCAAGGTCCTTGTGTCCGGACAGTTAATCTATAGCTATTTAATGGTTATTATCGGTATTATTGGGTTAGTGTGGGCTGGCTCCTTCCTGTGAGATCATTTTAACATTTGTCAAACACATCTGCCGTCTTGTCCATCAATCGATTCCATATCGCCACCAGCACTAACAGCAAAATTAACATAGATATTGAAAAACTTCTCCATAAAATGGCGTCATCTCATGTACAAAATGTAGGCGAAACTACACTAAACTTAGGTTACAACCTACCGCGTTACGTCTGCGTGTTCTTGAACATGATTGAAATATATAAGACGTTTGTGTTAACGGGTCCGGGCTTCGGGGAACGGGTATCTGTTAGTCTAGGCTCGTGGTTTCCGCTTTAAAGTTTTACATATACAGTTATAGAAAATATAAGTCAACTATGTCTAGGTTTTGCACATTCAAGAGTTTGAAACAACAAACTTAAGCTAATTTGAAAATCTTCATCGACTGCTAAGTGAACTTGTTTACTTGTTCAGCAGAAACATGAGCAGGCTGCAAGGGCAGAAAGTTATTAGATTTGATTTCAACAATTCAACTGAAGACTACTCACCGGAAGTTAATGCCTTTGTTGGCTAGCATACGGTTACATTCACTTGAGCCGCTGCCACCTATGCCGTCTGGCAATGGCAATACATAATACTCACTCTCGGTACTCTGAAAGGTTGATAAAGATGATAAATATAAAAAGAAGTCCAATTTACATAAATTTATTGTAAATATTATAACCTTACCGTCTCAGTGAATTCGTGTTTGTATATCTGGGTGGAAACTTTCATATCAGAGAACGGACCCTTGAGCGCAAAGAAATGTATGCTCATCGGCGTGCTGGTTTTTGTTTTCAGAATCAGTTGATAGGTGATGGTCCGCTCGTTCGACTGATGCGGATCGCGCTGGCTGTTGTTGATGCGCGCCTTGACCACCCACTGCTGATTGAAGGCCGAGAAGCGGGCCGTCTCGTAGAAAAGCTTGTGAACGTATTCGTCCGTCCGATAGGGTTTCATTTGAAGATCTGTAAAAATAAAAAATAATATAAGAATTTAATCTGAAGAAACCATAAAAATCGGTTTTTCAATTTAAAAGCTCTATAGCTCTCTATAATGAGCCATTTAACTGCCCGCATTTGAACATGAGTTCATTGGAAATTATAATTGACAATCCTAATTTCTCTGAGCAATTAGAAGAAATTTTATAACACAAGGGACCCTTACCATTGAATATGATCTTTTCATAGCTAAGCAAGTCAATCAATGTGTTGAACATCTTCTTCTCCTCCTTGATTCTGTCATCGTGGGCCTCCAGGGCAGCCATTACCTCGTAGCCAGACTTCTGGGGGTGCAAGCAGTTGCGCTCATGCTCGTTAGCTATGGGAGAGATTGATTTTTTCCATTATATGGGTCGGTATATTTATGAAGGCACTTACTCTCATGATAGGGTCCCCGCCACTGGCAACCAATGCGATGATACTTGCATTTAGTGGGGCGCTCCTGGCACTCGTGTTGTTCATGGCGTTCGAGTGATTTGTAAGGGAACTCCTTGTTGCAAAACTGTCGATCAAAAGAATTGATTTAAAATCTAAATCTATTAAGAGGATATTGAAAACGTACCTGACACTCGCTGGGCAATTCTGAAGCGGCCTTCTCTACGGCCAAGTTACGTGAAGCGGTGCTCTTTGAAATTTCCACGCGGCAATTGGGGCAAGTGGCAATTTGATCGCGAAGGCTAGAGAAAGAATGTTTTTGGAAAACATTTAAAAATAATAAAAACCAGAACTAGTTAGTTGTAGTTAATAGTAGCATATGCAAGGATCTTAGTTTGGGATTTAGAGTGGGTTCATACCGTCCATCCGCCAGAAGATGGGTAAAACAAGCGGCGCACATCAGGTGTCCCATCTGACACTGTAAATGAGAAGAGCAGAGAGAAAGGGAAATCGAATATTAGTAAGTTCACGACTAAGCAATGGAGTGGTAGATGGATAGAGATTGAAAACTAAAACAAAAGTGGAATGAAAATTAACCTGCAATTAAAGAAAAAAGAAGAAAAGTTTTCTATTAGTCAAAATACGGCCTTGTTGCAGATAGCTTGTTTGTATGTATTTATGGGTGTGGGTGGGTGTTTCGAGTAAATGAATCTATTTTAGAGGTATTTTTAAGGTGAGGAAGATGGTGAGGCTGGATATCTTGGTGGGAGGTGATCTGAAGTGAGGTCTGAAAATGTTCGGCTTCGAGGCTCCGTTGTGTTTTTTTCGTTGGTTGAAATAAAAACGCTATGTTGTAGTTTGGTTTTATTTTGCATTCTCAAGTTTGCACTCTCCTTTGCAAATTTATTGAATTCAGTTTTCTTTTCTTTTTTTGGGATTTTTTTTTTTTTGGTTTTGTTTTGAATACATTTCAGGGTTTAACTTTAATGCTATTATGAAATCTGTTCTATGTACTTAGCATTTATAGTTACAATCTTGTTTTTCTTTTTCTTTTTGTTTTTGTTGCGTGTGCTTACAAAGGTTACGAAATCGAGTTTATTGACTTAACTAAGATTAATTATTAGGAGAGATATCGTTTAACTAAATAAGGCTGACTCAAAATCGAAATCATAAATAGTTGGTAGTTATTCGTTTAATTTAGCGTCCGTTATCACATAAATGTCGTTATTTTTTATTTGCTTGAAAGTCAATTAAAACGTAGTAGTGTGTGTTTTTCAATTGGTTTTCGGACATGAGTTTGTCAGGCAATTGATGAAAGGTCGGGAAGAGTGGACCGATAACGGGCAGATAAAGTCGGAAACCCCGAAGTAAAATGCTGCCGCTGTAAGCAACCTTCATTAAATCGCCGCATGCGTTTATTTACAATTCGTCTGTTTGGAATGCGGGCCTGTTTCCCTCATTTTGGAATTTCTATATCTATTTTGGGAAATATTCAGCCCCGGAGGAGGCAAGCGATAGTCCGTCGGGACTATTTGTAGACAGAGCCGCGAGTTTCGAGCGATAAGCAATGGTTTTCTTCTGTATCTTGTGCACATAACGAAATTTTGATGGTCCCAACGATCGTCACACAAAAATCTTAAGCAAGCTAAAATTAACAGATACCGTTCTTCCGTCGTCTAGACTATAGAGATATGAAGCCCTGAACGGATAATACAAAGGCACTCCCCCTAAAAATAATGTGCACATTGAAAATAAAATATTTGGTGTGTTCCTATTCCTTATGTGAAAAACGTAATATTCTTTAGAATGTTTTATATACAAATTTATTGTTTTAGAATGATTTTCATCTTAATGTGGTCAAACTGATGCATATATATACAGTGATGGAAAAAATAATAGAAACGATTTTTCAATTTTGGTTTGAATACGTATTTTTAATAAGGAACGTGGTGATGAGTGGATATTTTTATTTTTTTTTGTTTTATATACATCTAGTTTACATACTAAAAAACAAAAATGCATTTAACTTTATTCATTTAGCTAAAAAAATATATTTAAGTCAAATTTTATGGTTTTGACTTGGAAAAAAAAATAGAAACGAAGTGACTTATCGCCATCCAAATTGACTAGCTTAGCAAAATTAACCATGAAATGTTTTCAGGTTTAATATATTGTTGCATTACCATGATTTTTCAAAAATTCCGGGACACCTACGAGGCATAGACTCCACAGGATTGGAGCATATTGCTGGCTTAATGGAGTACCACTTCTCCTGGACTTTCTCCGACAAATGCTTCTTAGTTTTTGGCCTAAAACCACTCAAACGTTTTTTAGGAATGCCCCTCAAATGCTCAATAGGGTTTAAGTCGGGTGACTAAGCTGACCAATCCATAACGCCGACTTTATTGTCCAGGATCCCCTTTTTAGCAAGCTACGATGTGTCTTTGGGATCGTTATCCTTAATTATAATCCCACTTCAAAGGCATTTCATCTTCAGCATATGTTATCATAACGTCCATCATTATGTTTAAAAAGTCTGTATCACAGATATTGCCCTGTATCCAAAGTAATGGACCAACACCTGAAGCAGAGAAACATCCCCATAGCATTATATTGCCACCAAAAACCAAGAGACCCTCCAACTGGAAAAATCTCCTTTGGTCCGATGAGACAAAGATTGATTTGTTTGTATCTGATGGTAGACTCCATGTTAGATGCCCAAAAAACACAGCATTCGATCCCAAATACACCAAAAGGACGATCAAACATGGAGTTGGCAATATAATGCTATGGGGATGTTTCTCTGCTTCAGGTGTTGGTCCATTACTTTGGATACAGGGCAATATCTGTGATACAGACTTTTTAAACATAATGATGGACGTTATGTTAACATATGCTGAAGATGAAATGCCTTTGAAGTGGGATTATAATTAAGGATAACGATCCCAAAGACACATCGTAGCTTGCTAAAAAGGGGATCCTGGACAATAAAGTCGGCGTTATGGATTGGTCAGCTTAGTCACCCGACTTAAACCCTATTGAGCATTTGAGGGGCATTCTTAAAAAACGTTTGAGTGGTTTTAGGCCAAAAACTAAGAAGCATTTGTCGGAGAAAGTCCAGGAGAAGTGGTACTCCATTAAGCCAGCAATATGCTCCAATCCTGTGGAGTCTATGCCTCGTAGGTGTCCCGGAATTTTTGAAAAATCATGGTAATGCAACAATATATTAAACCTGAAAACATTTCATGGTTAATTTTGCTAAGCTAGTCAATTTGGATGGCGATAAGTCACTTCGTTTCTATTTTTTTTTCCAAGTCAAAACCATAAAATTTGACTTAAATATATTTTTTTAGCTAAATGAATAAAGTTAAATGCATTTTTGTTTTTTAGTATGTAAACTAGATGTATATAAAACAAAAAAAAATAAAAATATCCACTCATCACCACGTTCCTTATTAAAAATACGTATTCAAACCAAAATTGAAAAATCGTTTCTATTATTTTTTCCATCACTGTATATATTCCCTTCTAAATGACAAATGTTTTGAGATAAGAATGTTGAATGTTGAAAGTATTAAAACTCCTCAAAGTAAACGCATTTAATTACCTCAGTCTATTTACATCTTATTTTTCACCGTGTTTTTTGTGTATCTGCTGTGTATTTACTGTATCTTTGCAGTTGAATGAACTCATGAATTCGTGTTCTTTCGATTGGCAATTTATGACCTAGACTAACGCAAGCAGCAGCTGCTTGGCATCCGATTGTTTAATGGAAAATCCTCGAGCGATTCACAAAGGAGTTTAACTCGTTTTTCCCCATCGATAACAATAACACGCAAAAGAGAAAAGCGCAGACACAACAAAACCCAGCTGATGGTGTTTTCGTAGATAGAGCGTGGATAGAGAAAAAAAATGTCAACAGCGTGTAGGTAGAAGATCGACGACGAGTACAGCAAGTTTCAGGTGTGTTTTCTCAGGTATACCTTTCCCCCATAAACACACATAAAAAAGTACTTTTGTGTAGAACCCAAACTGGAAAAACGAGTTTATTCCAGATTACAGGTCCTAATACCTGCAGCCAACTTATTCTACAAATTCATCAACAACTTCCGTGGCATTTCATTCCAACAACAAATGTGCGCAGTATCTTGTTCTTTTTTTTTACCATTTAAAATCGGCAAAATTGTTTCAATTTTCCCCAGGTCTCGAACAGCTGATTTTGTCACGACGTGGGCGAGAGCGAGACAACAACAGCAACGTAGTGGTAAAAGCAAAACAATAACAGAGAGCAAAAATTACAATGTGCGCGTGTGTGTGTTTGTGTGCAGAGTGCACATACATACAGACAAACAGGCAAATAAAGAGTGAAAATGCAAACGAGGAAAAAACAATCAGGGATTCTTTTTGCTAATTAATAGTTTCTGCTGGTTTCTGCGAATTCCTTCTGGCCATTTTGTATGAATCATTTTTAGGTTTGGTCACGTTTTTAGAGTAGAGAAGAATCCATGGTTCATTTGATATTTCTGTGTGGGTCAGCAGTTGTTTTTCTTCATACCGTAATACAAAACCAATTTCAATGACGCAGTTACGCCTGCCTCAGCACATGTGTTAGAAAAAGAGAGCAATGTCAACCTACACAAACGCCTTACGTAAAAGATCTGTTGGTGCAGGGGCGCAGTTTAGATATTGCGGATTATGTGGACTCATATTATGTTTAGGAACTGATTTTAATTTTAAATCAATAAGCAAGCTAGGCTTAAGTAAATATTAATATAGACGCCAATGCTTTGATCTACTAGCCCCTCTTGGTGCATTTCAGCCTACGCCCCTTCATTTGTTTTTTGAGACATCTTTGTATATGTGCATTAAATTCAATCAACGTCAGTTACAACAAGAATGACGATGCCTACATTGGTGTGCATGAAACGGAATTGGACCAAGAATTGAATTAACGAAAGAACACCATCAAAGGAAAAAAGGCAAGATTTTCCGTTGGTTTGTTGCTACTTAAAATAGGCCACGGGGAAGACATAACGCCGTTTTCTATGACGCAATACAGAAAATCTGCAGTAAATGTTACTGCGCAAAAGACAGCGAAAAAAGGAAATGAAGATGGGGGAGTCATAATTCATAGTGTGAAATGCAACGGTACCATTTGGGGGGGTTGTTTTCTAAAACGCAATAAAACTGCATTAGTTGATAGAGAGTGCGAGAAGGTCGGCCTGCTTATGTTGCGCCTGCCCTTTCTCCCCCTCGCACTGACTGAATGTTTTCAAGGCGAATAATGCAAGAGAGCCCCAGCTAGACGTCTCGCTCTCGCACAGCTGTATGTTGCTGGAGGAGGGGGCAAGATAGAGAGAGGTGTTTCACTCTTACAGCTGAGTTGCCACGATTTGTTTGTATACAGAATGAGGTGCACACACATACACACACCTATTTAGTGTTTCCTTAGTTTTTTAGTTTTTTTTTATCTAGATTTCAAGGGTTTTATTTAATCCGCTGAAATAACCCCAAAAACTTACCTGGTACATGGCCGTCTTGGGTAAGTCCAGGCAGACAGCGCAGCACAGGGCATTGGTTATGCGGTGGGCCAGCTTTTCATGCATTCCCGATGCGGCTGCAGCACTAGAGAGGGAAGAGGTGCTGCTGCTGGTGGCACCAACTCCTCCTCCGTCCAACAATTGTTTCTTAGCCGGCGGTTCACCGCTACTCTGTGTGTCTAGCGGAACGCCCACAACATTACCACCGCCCACCGAAGATGATGACGAGGAGGAAGACGCTGAGGACGCGGAACTGGTAGTAGCCACCACCTGGTTGTCCCCCAAGAGCGGTAAAGTCGAGGATGACGGCGGCTGCTGAACCGCCGAACTGGAGGATTCCACCGACATGATTGGAAATTTCCTTGGAATTATGTTTGTTTTTTTTGCTTGCCACTTCGTACGCAAGCACCCACACGCACACTGAGTTACAACTACAAATGAAAACAGGCAGTACTCAATTTGCTCTCTCCCGCTCGCACACTCAGTTCATATGGCACTTTCTTTGCCTTGCCACCTTTCCCCGTAGTCCGTCTCTTTCTGTTCTGTTCTTCAATGTGCTGTTCTGTTTTCACACTTTTCGTCCGCTAAAACGTCCACTCGTCACAAAATTTGTTGTTTCTTTGAAAAGTATAGCTTAGTGTTACCAGGTTCGTGCTTTAAATTTATGTTGCTTAAAGTAAGACCAATTATCGCAAAAAGGTATTTTTTTTTGGTTAGTTCTCGACTAGATATAAAATACCTTTTTTTGGCCCCACTGTCATCTTAGTTCGGAAAGGTTAAGAAATTTTGAGATTAAAGTTACAAAATATAAGTTTATTTGAAAATAATGAAATCGATTAAAAAGTTTTTACGTTCATACCTAAATCCTCAAAGCTCAAGAATATTAAGTTTTTTAAAGAAAGACTTGCGGCAAAAATAAAATCAATTTTTTACGCTGACCAACACTAAGATACTAAATTATACAAAGCTGCCTTCTACAGAATAACACTGATTGATCACTAGTTGAAGCTGTCTGTTATATAATCAGTGACGGTGCCCTGGTCCTCGGGATCCGAGGTTTCGCCACTCGCAAGATGCGGTCACACTGCGAGCGGCAAGCGAAAAACATGTAAGAATTAAAATATTTAAATTTTTGTTAAATTGTCGACAAATTAAGCAAAAAGCAAACTTGTGGATATGATAACTTCCAGGTGACTTCTGTACGGGCGATGAAAGTAGAAAAGCCTCGTAAAACTGCAAATTTTAAAGCAGACATATTGGTATCGTGTCGGTGTGGGTGGCATTGTTTGTGTGTGTGTGCAACAGCGGCAGCAATTAACAAAAACAAGACAACAAAAATACAAATACCGATTTAGTATACAAATTTTAAAAATTATGGAACAATTTGCGTCTTTAGAAAAAACAAAATAGATCCAAAAATAATTTTATAGTGACATTTTTAAAAGAAAATTTTAATAAATATTCCTATTTTTAAATGTCAGTTCCTGTTGAATACGACAAAACTAGATTTGTATTTTTTGTTATAAAAAATATAAAGAGAATTCAAGTCGAAACGAAGTGAATTTTGTAAATTATTTCCAGCTGTTCCTACTGAAAAACAATAAGTGCATATATGTACTCTTATTTCCTTTTCTCCTTCTCTTTTCTTACCTTCACCATCTCCCCCACGCTTCCTTTTCTGCCCCTTTGCCCCCTTTCCCAGCCAGCTGTTTGTCGCGTTCCACAAATATGGTTGGAGGGTGGATCGTGTTTTGGGCTCGGGCTTTAATATTTCTCTATGTGGAACGCAACCTGTGGCCAGCTGTTGGGTCCTGTTGAACTCCCCCGTCTAAATACATATGCACCATTATATATATGTATATACATGTTTATATGCCTGTGTGTATAACAACGCCAATTGCTAAGGCTTCTGCAAAATATCCTTGCCAATTAAGGAGTAACAGGGGTTTCGACTTATGGAAAATACTCTTTTTTGTTTTAAAAACTTGAAGAATTTGTTGAAGTTTTTTTCTAAATTACCGTTTTCAATTTTTAAGTAGAATGATGCTTAATAATAGGTAACAATTATGAGTACTGATGGTAGCAATAGAGTTTACAACTAGTTTACTAGTTTATTTGTACATATGAAAGTATTTTGAATAATCTAACTATAGTTTAACAAAATATTATGTGTGAATAAATTGTTAAAGTTGTAAAATTCGTGTAACCCCTTGAGCACGGACGTTTTCCCACCACTCCTCGAATGGGATCCACATTCACTGTGTTGCACACACAGCTGGCCATTGTTGTTGTTATTATCCGAGCTCCTGTACATATGTGTACACCAATACATTTATATGTAACACTCGGGGGTCGTTTGTGGACTCCATTTGGCTTGGCTGTTGGATCTTCTTTGCGTTTTCTTCATTCGTGCAGCGCCAATCGCGCGGTGTGTGTGTTTTGCGTTTTTCTTATTTGCAAATTCGTTTAGAAATGGTAATAAAAATTTATAAGTAAGAGCATTATATGTATATATAAAACAACTCTTAAGGGAAAATACAAATTAATAAGCTGAACACAAAAATATAACGGATTCCCAAAACATCCAACTTACTAAGCAATATGTTGGCTTAGGCTCGGTGTGTATGTGTGTTTTCGATGGTGTTAAATTTAAAACTCTAAAAATATGAACAAAGTGCAAAAAGTACAACAAAAAGTGTGGAAAACTGTAAAACAAATATGCGCGCAATTGTGTCTGTATATGTGTGAAAAAGCGTCCCCATACACCCACACACACGCACTCAGTGTGGAAAATTAAAAGTAATCCCAGCTCGGCACCCCTCTCACTCCCACATACTGTTGCTATTTGGGATTTAATTTGTTCTCCCTTTTTGCATAAACAACTGCCTTTCGTTTACAGTTATTTGTTTTAATAAAAATGTACTAAAATTCTTTTCTTTCTCCCATTTTGCAGCCGACGCGCCTCAGTTGTTAATAATCATTTGCCCGAAAATGCATTTCAACAGCAAAAAACTTTCGTGAAAAAATAAACAAAAAATAATACAAAAAAAAAAGAATTATATTTGAAACGTACGATGTGAAAATGTGTAATGTGAAATTTAGCAGTTAAGCGCGGAATGTATGTATTATTTAAATTTTTGTTTCAATATTTTCTATAAAATAATTAAAAAGAAGTGCAAAAAAATCGAAAAATACGAAAAAAGCAAAAAACAAGAAAAAGTTTTTTTACCTAGTGCATATTATAACGAAAACAAAAACAAAGCGTAACGAAACGGGAATAGAAGGACCACAGAGCGAGAGCAAGAGAGAGAACGAAAGAGGAAAAGGTGAAGGCGGAAGCGAGAGCGAGAGAGAAAAATGTCAACGTTCTTGAACAATTTCTTCCCGGCAGGTAAGCAAAAACAAAGCAAAGCAAAAAAATAAAAGAAAAGAAAATCAAATACAATAAAGACAGGGAACGAAAGAGAGGAAACACAGCTGGTGGCAGTTGCGTAGGGAAGAGGATTTTCGGGGGTTCTTTACCCCCCGTGAAGGAGTTATTAGTAGACTTACAGCATTTTATTTTCCCGCGAACTATTTCAAATTTTTGGTTTTTTATTTGGCATTTAAAATAAATAGTAATATTTTTACAACTCAAGCTTTTCTAGTTAGTATATTTTTATTTGATGATTTGATAGAGTATTTATGATTATATGAAGTAATCATTGTAATATGATTGTATTAAACAGCAAATTAGTTTCTTTTGGAACCCCTTTTTAAAATCCTTGGCACTACACTGGTTGGGTGGCATTTAATTGAAAGTCACCTTTGGCATATTTCATAAGCGTTCTCACCGGGGTCATCCTGTAATTCAATTCTCTGCCTCTTTCCCTCTCGCTTTCTCGCTTCACTGGCGGCATGTAAATTGAATTTTCTTACTGAAGCGCATATTGTGATTATTGGCAATTACATGGACGTGACCAAGGAACAAAGGAGGCGAAAGGGACAGATATGGAGGGAGAAGGAGTGTAGACTAAGAACAGAGAATCTCGATGTAATCAATCTACCCCAGAACAATCTACCATCCACTTCCCTTTAATTACGTGCATTCCTCGCTTCGATGCCATCGATTATCGTTTTCCTTTCCCTTGGTTTTTATTCATGGAAACTCTTTGATTCCCATTTTCTGCTCCTTGCAACCCCTCTGGGATCAGGAACAAGTTCCACACTCTTCGTTCTCTTGCATTTTCTTTGTCCTGCGAATGAGACGGGAAACGCAGAAGCCGAGGCAGGGAAACTCATACAGGTACGGCAGGAAAAACCACTTCCTCGGTTCCCTGCCCTTTGCCAAAACCCAAACAATAAGACAATAACGAAAGATTCCGTATGAACACTGCAGCTAGGAATACTCTTTTTTTTTTATAAATACTACTATAATGCAACATAACAACTTTATAACTCTATTATAAAATAACTTTCCCTAAGATGAGCTTATCAGATTTCCTACTTTTTATTATTCTAACTTTTTATTCATAAATTATATCAAAGGATCGCCAGAAATCATATTTCTATTATTAAATTTTAAATTAATAAGGTTATGATACCAGTTTGTTAAGATGATGATGATGAAAAAGTGAAAGATCAGCAGTATAGGCTCTTAAATCTTCTGATCTAAATCCAAGTCGCATAACCATGGGCAAGGGTATAAACAACAATTGGAAAGCCTGAGAAAATACACTGGAGAGGGGGGTTGACTGGGAAGGATGGATATAGATATGGATGCACTCTAAAACCCGTTTGCAGAGCCGAAAATTCAACTCGATCCACTCTTTAGTGGCGTCAAAACAACAGGGAACCAGAACTACAACAATATCAACAATAGCCGCTCTCAACATTTCCAAGCTCTGAGGCCAATGGCAGCTGACGGAAACACATTGACTTCGATGATACGGTGATACGATGATACCATGCCACAATGGTACAATATGATGGCGATGGCAACGTCTGGATGGTGCAGCACTGTCTGTAGGTGCACTGGGTTACCTGTTGATGGCCCTACCACTCACTGTTTTTCCTCCTCCTTCCTTTTCCTTTCCTGATGGTCTCCGTTCTGGTCGAGCGCAATTGAGAACTGGTTTACCAACTCGCTCCTTCTTCCTGGGCTCTCTGTCCCTCAACTGTTTTTGGGATCGTTTTTGCGTAAACAAGAGAGGCTCAGACGAAATTGGAGATCTTGAGCTCTGGACTCTAATCTGTCTGTCTGTTTATGTGTATTAATTTTTTGCCCAAAAACAGAGGGATACACCTTGCTAGAAACCGGAATAGTTAACTTGGATAAATGAGGCAGATTAAATTACCTTTAAATACGATCATTTTACTTACCTTTTAGTCAATGAACATTTGATAACTATGGAAATACATGCAAGACGCGTATTGACGTATACATTTTGCAAATTTCAAATATTGTGAAATCGAGAACACGTCCTGATATTAAATTTAAAGACCCAATATACATTCCGTTTTTTATGCACTTAATGGTTGACAGTTAAGGGTATTAAAGCGTATTACTTCATGATTTGTAGCCATAATTTTAACCATTTCTCTGGGCCTTTTCGTGACGTTAGAACGTTGGGTTTACAGTGAAAAACTGGCA